GCTCAAATTCGATTTGCATATTATTTTATTTGCATTTTACATAATAATTTAATTTTATTAGTTTTGCTGCATCATCATCATCGTCATCGTCATCGTCGTGTGGCTCAAGTCCTGCCAATTCTAATGGTTTTAATGGCACCTAAGTGACCCCATCCCCCAAATATTTGTATTTTGGGTCATCGCCCCACCATTTCCAACTATTTTCTTCCTATTTTTGTTGTTGTTTAATTTTATTTTTTGTCGATTTTATTTAGGCAATTCCTATTGGGGACACTTAAATACACCAACCATGCGAAAATCAACGCCTACGATGGGTTTTTTTTCTAACTGAACACAAAAAGAAATAAAGGTAATAGTTTTTAATATTGGACTTTTTAATTTTACCTAAATTTTTTTATATTTATTTTATGAATTTCAACTTCAAATAAATTTGAATGTTTTAGTTAAATCTGAATACTTATAAAAAATAAATATACTGTTTAATTTTCTTAGGTAGAAGGTAATTTCTTACATAATTAAATTTCCAAAAATTCATACAAATTAAAAATAAATCAAGGAAGATTTGTAAGGTTCGTAAAGTAAGTAAGGAAGACAGTCAATTAATTATATTATATTATATTAATTTTTAATTCTTAAATAAAATAAAATTTTGACCAGGAGTTTAAGGAAGAAAACAATAGAAGTACCGGGTATCGTATATCTTTTATCTTTTTCACCTATTTATCTATTTTTTTTTTACCAATATACTTTAAGACGCAATTTTTTTGACTGTGTAGTATGCAGTTTATTTTCTAGTTGCATTTCTGCGTCTTGCCTGTTATTTATTTATTTTTTTAGTTTTTTTTTGGGCATTTATTTTCATGGCTTACTTGTAGCATATTTTGTTGGCCACCACATTCATTTAAGTTTGCGGTGAAGGGTGTTAAGAGTGGCCTGGTAAATATAGTCCATGGGTGGGTTAAAACGGGGGCATGGGCATGGGCATGGGCATGGGCATGGCGTGGTTGGTGGGGAATTGGCCGACAATTGCCGCAGTCTTTGGAGAGTCTTCCCAGCGCGACGGGCAGTCGTAAATTAGTTGCGAATGGCAGCAGTAACACCATCAACAACAACACCACAACACAACACAACAAAACAACAAGCATAACAATATGAACAACAACATCATCAACAACAACAACAACACATACATATATGTACAACAACTAACTGGAAAGTTCTACGATGCAGAGCGAGAAAAGTTCAAAAAGTCGAAAGGAAAAGTTCAGTAAAAGTGTAAGGTGAAAATTATTATCAAGTGTTTGCCACAAAATTTGTGGCAGCCTTAAATTGGTGATGGTGCTGTGTGCTGCACCTGTTTGCATCCAACTGGGTGGCTGAGTGTTCTAATTTAAATTGTTTTTTGATCAATTCCAATTGGATTAGCAGAAGTTTAGTAGAAATGGAATACATATTAGCAAGAAATGGAATTGGAATATTAAAGACTTCTTTAATATTAAAGACTTAGTTTTAAAAAAATAACTCAAAAACTAACTCAAAATATGTAGTTACACTTAAAATGAACAAATTTTTATAATTAAAATGATTAAAGTGAGAAAGTTCAGCAACATATTTTAAAAATAATTTTAATAAAAGCCTCTACTTATTTTATTATGTTTTAGTTTAAATGATACAGACAAAACTAAAATAAAACAAATTTTGAATAATTGATGAATATCAACAAAAAATATTACACCAACAATATAAAAAAACTTACCAACGTTTTCATACATATAAATCAAAATTCCTACATTTGTAATATATTTTTAGTGATAAATTGTAAACCAACGTTCAATTAAAAGCTACACCAACGTGGTTTTAACCAAAAAATGTAAAATCCATACTGCCTACAACAAATTCAAAATTAAACAAAAAATTTAACTGAATTAATTATAGCATCATTTTAAACACATATAATTTCAAACCAAGAAACAAAATAATCCAACAATCTAACAAAAATAAATCTTTATAAAACTAATAAATTTTAATTTGTTTAGAAACTTTTAATAACAAAATTAACTAACAGCAGAAAACTATCTCCAAGAACTTTCACCAACCATACACCAACATTACTATAAAGACTGCTCTAAAATCGGAACTATTCCAAAATAGTCTTCTTATTTTATCCAACTAAATTTAAAGCAGTCAAAAAAATACCCTCGAGTCCATTTGAGTTTGGAATAAACCGAAATGACTTGCAGATCTGAGTCAGAAGGAAAATGTTGAATGCAATTTGGCTTGGTTCTGGTGGCGCTGCCATTACCAATTATTTGTGCTGTTATCGCGACCTTCTTCCTCTGCTGACCCCAATTTGGCCAATAAGGTTGTCCTACCCAAATATATGTATATACATACATATATCTATATATTTTCTTATATATATATATATTATGTTGGAAAAAAAGGCAGCCTCAAGCATCAAGTTTCAAGCTTGTTGATTGCTTTCGATATTCGCGTCTTGGCGATGGCAGCTGATTGAAGTGCAAGGTAAGGTAGAAAAAAAATCTAAGGGGGGACGCCTGCTTCAGACAATTTCTTTTAGCCATGGAGGAGATGGTATGTATGTATGTTCCTGCCTGGCAGGTTTCTCTTTCACTTTTAATGGCAACTGGCATAATGAGCTGGAAATATGTGTGCCATGTGCCACAATCGGAAAAAAGAAGTCAAACTCAAATCGACGCGACTCGTTTTCTAGCAGCTATTGGTATTTGTTAGCTGGTAGTTGCATTTGTTTTGGCCACTTGGGACTTTGGGCTAGGACCACCTCGTCCTCACTGCTTCTGGCCAGCATTGACACAATATAACATTTGTTGTCGTTGCATTTATTGACGCATTTGCTCTTTTGCATATTTTGAATGTGAATAAATACATACTCTAACTTTGGGTTATTTTGGTTTTAAAAAATATAGTTTTCAAATTTTATTGAGATTTTATATAATCTTAATAAGTAAATTCTTTAAAAATAAAATTCATAAATGGAAAAATTGCTCTTGAAAATGCACTTATTTTGAATAAATGCAAAATATTAAAAAAAAGGTATTAATTTAAGATATAAGATAAGATTTAAATAAAATAGAAAATAACTTAAATGAGGAATAGAGTATGAGTATAAAAATTATATTATACTTTATTGGTAAAAAAATATAATAAATTTATATACTTTATTATATAAATCTAAAATTTGGGATATATCTTATAAGAAAATAAGATATAAATATTCTTTTAGTTAATGGTTTAAATTTTAGAGTATTTTAGGAGCTTCTATATTCGAAATTTTCTACAAAAATATATTATTAGTAAGAGTATTCTCTCTCAATATTTAAATTATTTTTTTTGAAGTGTCCTTTAGTATTTGGTTAAGGTTTTATCATTAGGATAACAATCCAAACAAGGTTTTAAACAAACACCAGGTGATGTAAAAAATCAAGAGTTCAAGTTCGCAAATTTTAATTTTAAAAAAAGTAACAAAAAAAAAAAAAAATAAATCAAATAGTTCCAGCACTAAAAAAGCAACTCTAGTAATAATTGAATAAAAATCGGCCTTCAATAAAAATTAACACTTTCTAATATTTTCATATTTTAATTTATTTTTTATATTTTATAATTCCTAAAAATTCCTCCCAAAGGGTATCTTTCACTTGCAATAAATATGAAAAATTTGAACAATTTTTTTTTGCTAGAATTATTGGTGTTCCACGACATGCGACAAAATAAAATGTAATTTCTCTTTCAGGCCCAGTTTTTCAGTTTATCCATTGGCAGTACCCCCCTCGTTTTGGCCAACATGCGACAATTCAATGCTGACACTAACAACAACCTAAAAACAAACAAAAAACCAGCAACAACAAAATATGCAAATCGTAGTTGCCACGCTGGGGCAAGGTCGGTCAGGCACACGGGGCACATAAATATTTCTTTTTTGTTGGCTTTTTTAAAGGGCTAAATTGGCTAAATTGAAGTCAAGTGCAATTGCAATATTTTAAATGTTTTTGAAAACTAAAGTTTTTGTTTGTATTTTTGCTATTATTTAGATTTTTGTTTATTTATAATTATATCGAACAAAAAATAATGCCAAATAATAGTGAGAATTGTTATTGTTATTATCTTGTTGGGAATGTGATTTTTAATTGTTATGTTTTTTTGAAATGATTTCCATTTTCATGTGATGTTAGTTTTGTGTCATAGCCATTAATTTTGTTAACCCATTTAATTGAACTTTTTTTTCATGTCATTAGATAATGCATATTTAATTTTATGCAAACAAAAATGGCCACTGACATTTCAATCTTTGACCCATTATGGAAACCGCGCTGTTATTTTGTTTTTTTCTTAAAATTTGTGTAAACTATGTCAGTGATTGTCACAAAAATTAAGTAAATATTTAAAGAAGGTAATAAACTTATTAAATTTATTATTAAGATTTCAAAGAATTATAAATTAAAACAAGAAGGGAAATCTAACTTCGGGCGGAGCCGAAGTTGATATACCCTTGCAGTTAAAACCGGATATATATCGCAAACATTGGATTTAATTGGCCGATCCTTATGAGATTATCATAATATAACCAAAATAATCAAAAAAAATAAAATTTCTAAAAAAAAAAAAGTTTATTTCTGATATCCCTGATAAACAATTCCTACTATTTATGGCACTTAAAAAGTTCCTCCCCTTTTTTTTTTGTTGCACTGTGTAATTTATTGCATATACATAAATGTACATATGTATTATATATAGCCTTAATATATACCAAGAAAACGAATCTAAGAACATAAACCAGATCTTGTTGCTAATCACCTCTCTCTAATCTCCAATAACCTTTGACATCCCTTCCGTAAGAATTCCGTCTGTGGAATATTTTGGCATTTCTATATGTGTGGGCATTTCCCAATTTCTTATCAGAAACTAAAGCTGAAGCTCATGGCCAAGGATGGCTATAAAAAGCCGGAGCTCTAAGACTTTCAGTAGAAAGTTAAGTTCAATCATAAAAATACAAGATGATCTTCCCCGTGGCCCTCATTTCTGTCATTACCCTAATTTCCGCCTCCTTGGGATCGGAAGAAGTAAGTTATACCTTTTTTGAGTGTTTTTATTTTGAAAAGTAATTTAATTTTTAATTCCACAGACATGCTACCTCTCCGAAGAGCAGGAAGATCAATGTGCATCGGTTTGTTATCCGATCGTGAAGCCCTTACTTCGCTATTTTGAGAAAACTAATGAAAAGGATGCCCAGCTCCTAAGGTGCAAGACAGACTATTCGGAACTTCAGAAACAATACTCGGATTTGCAGAACGAGGGTCTCAAACAGTACGCCCAGGTATCCAAATGCCAAAAGGATAATTCGGAATTAATGAAATCGAATTTAGAAGTGCAAAATAAATATACGGAAGTGCTCAGTCAACTTAGTGATGAGAAAGTTAAAAATGCGCAGTTGCATTCGAAGCAGCAGGAAGTTGACAATCTAATAAATCAGAAAAATACGGAAATCAACCTCCTAAAAGATCAAATTAGGGAACTAAAAGAAAAAAGTGAACTTGCAACGTTGACTAATCAGTTCCGCGAAGACATTGCCAAGTTGGGAAAAATAGTAAAGAACGGAGGAATTCATGAAAATAATCCAACAAAGTCGGAAATAGAAACTGGAGAGGTCTCAACAACTCCACTGCCTAATATTTATAATAAAACACCGAAAACTCAAACCATAGGTAAGTTGGCAGAACCCAGTTATTTGCAAAAAAAAAAACAACGAATTTTTCAGATTTTCCAGATCCTTGTCCACGAGACCAAGAACTTAACTTCGTCCTCCGCGAAATCCAACTACCAGGCTCAGACAAGTTTAAAGTGGGTTGCTATTCAAGTTCGACATTTGGATCTGGATGGTTGTATGTTTATAGAAAAAATCATGGTTCACAAAAATTTAATCGCACGTATGAGGATTATGAACGTGGATTTGGTGATGTAGGAACTGAGTTGGCAAATGAGTTCTTTATTGGACTCAACCGATTGCACCATCTGACCAGTGGAAAGCCTCATGAAGTGCTTTTTTGGACCCTTTCTGGCCGTAGCAGATGCCCCAACTTTGTTGTGGGCGATCGAAGCGAAGGGTACAGGGTGAAAAATATTGGTAATTGTTCTGGAGACTACTTATGGATGAGCCCCCCTAAGCAAGATTCAAAATTTTCCACCTTCGATCGAGATGAGGATGGAGTTTCTGATCGTAATTTGGCAAAGGAATATGGCTATGGCTGGTGGTTCGACCCTGGTGTGAGGTGTGTATTCTAATTAGGTTTTATTTTAGTTTCATCTCCAACTGGACATTTCTAAAATAAATAAATTGAAATAATTTTTAAATTCTATTATTTCAGTTCTGCACCTTTTAGCTCCGGTGGGTATTACATTAAAATGTACATCCGAAGAGCAGATTGAAAAAAGCAAACACCATTTTAACACGTACTTGGAAAATGAAACATTTTTATAAAATATAAAGATTAAAAATACTCATTAAAATATAATTATTTTAATTTAAAAATAATAAAGACCATAATTAGATAAACTGTACTCTTCTATTTTTTAAGTTTTGAATATAATAAATAAACAAACAAGCAAGGAAAGCTAACTTCGGGCGGAGCCGAAGTTTATATACCCTTGCAGTTAAAACCGGATAAATATCGCAAACATTGGATTTAATTGGCCGATCCTTATGAGATTATCATAATATAACAAAAATAATCAAAAACAAGGAAGGAAAGCTAACTTCGGGCGGAGCCGAATTTTATATACCCTTGCAGTTAAAACCGGATATATATCGCAAACATCGGATATAGTTGGCCGATCCTTATGGGAATAGGAATATATAACCCAATTTATTACAATACAAAATTTAAAAAAAGTCCCAAACTTCTATCTTCAAAAATACGAAAGTTGATATTTCTACCAAATACCATTTCCGATCGTTCAATTATATGGCAGCTATGGGATATAGTCGGCCGATCCTAATGAAATTTGGTAGGTTGGATCAACTGACCAAGAATTAAATCTGTACTAAGTTCCAGCTTTCTATCTTCAAAAACACGAAAGTTGGGTCATTTCCGATCGTTCAGTTATATGGCAGCTATAGGATATAGTCGGCCGATCCTTATGAAATTTGGCATGACGTAATGTTTTGCCAAAAATAGCTCACATGTCAAATTTGAACTCTCTAACTCTAAAAACACCAAAGTTATACCATTTCCGATCAATCAGTTATATGGCAGCTATAGGATATAGTCGGCCGATCCGGGCCGTTCCGACTTATATACTGCGTGCAAAGGAAAGAAGGGTGTGTGCAAAGTTTCAAGACGATAGCTTTAAAACTGAGAGACTAGTTCGCGTAGAAACAGACAGACGGACAGACAGACGGACAGACGGACAGACGGACAGACGGACAGACGGACAGACGGACATGCTCATATCAACTCAGGAGGTGATCCTGATCAAGAATATATATACTTTATAGGGTCGGAGATGTCTCCTTCTCTGCGTTGCACACTTTTGACCAAAATTATAATACCCTCTGCAAGGGTATAAAAATAAGACCCAAAAGAAGTAAAGGACAGGCGGACACGCGGACAATCTTATTTTAGCTTAATAAAAAATGCATATATTTAATATATTTCTCTAGTTTCTTATTAAGGTTGTAACCTTTGTAAAGCTAGTCTCTAACATAGAGGCTAGACCTCCATTTAGGTAAAAAAAAATACCTATTTAGGTAAAAAGGCCCAAAAGAACTAACGGACACACGGACAAAGCTTTTATGATAATCTCCCTCCTTATAAGATAGCCCTTATAACCCCCATCACTATTAGAGAAAATTAAAGTGTAAACAAATCATTTGTAATGCCATAGCTCCATAGCTATTAGCCATACATATATGTGCAATATATATCATTAGATGACCCCCCACCTCGACGATTTTAACGATGATTGCCGCTAAGCAAACACCAATTGTTGGGTCAAGAAATCGATGATTTCGATACGAAACTACCAGAGAAAAAACAATAATATATACTAGGTATATATATGGACTTTGAAAAAAAAAAGGGAGAAAGAGTTGAAAGAGAAACCCTGGACATTAAACCCCCTTTCTCCAGTGCTTGACCAATATTGTCATTGGCCATTCAACTAAAAAAATTAACACTAAAAAAAATAGTAATTAAATAAATTAAATATTTTTTTTTTCAAATTCATGATAGCCATATATTGAAACTTTAGTCTTTTCTTTTAAATAAAAATATACAAAAATATGTATGTTCTTAACTTTTATAAACTATTTTTTTTCCAGTGTAGTTCCTTTAATTTCTTTCTTTCTCTAACTTTTTTTTTATAGTTCGCAATTATCAGGGACCTCTCTCTCAGTCTCAGCCACAACTTATTGGATTTTTTGCATTAAAAGTTTCAAACTCTGTTTTCTTATTTTCATCTTTGGACTTTTTTTTTCACTGCAAGTTTTCCCCATCTGGTTCTTCTAATTTTTTTTTGCAGAGTGTTTTTTTATGTGCGTTTTTTTTTATGAGAAAAACGTTTAAAAAACAAGAAAGGAAAGCTAACTTCGGGCGGAGCCGAAGTTTATATACCCTTGCAGTTAAAACCGGATATATATCGCAAACATCGGATATAGTTGGCCGATCCTTATGGGAATAGGAATATATAATCCAATTTATTACAATACAAAATCTAAAAAAAGTCCCAAACTTCTATCTTCAAAAATACGAAAGTTGATATTTCTACCAAATACCATTTCCGATCGTTCAGTTATATGGCAGCTATGGGATATAGTCGGCCGATCCTAATGAAATTTGGTAGGTTGGATCAACTGACCAAGAATTAAATCTGTACTAAGTTCCAGCTTTCTATCTTCAAAAACACGAAAGTTGGGTCATTTCCGATCGTTCAGTTATATGGCAGCTATAGGATATAGTCGGCCGATCCTTATGAAATTTGGCATGACGTAATGTTTTGCCAAAAATAGCTCACATGTCAAATTTGAACTCTCTAACTCTAAAAACACCAAAGTTATACCATTTCCGATCAATCAGTTATATGGCAGCTATAGGATATAGTCGGCCGATCCGGGCCGTTCCGACTTATATACTGCGTGCAAAGGAAAGAAGGGTGTGTGCAAAGTTTCAAGACGATAGCTTTAAAACTGAGAGACTAGTTCGCGTAGAAACAGACAGACGGACAGACGGACAGACGGACAGACGGACAGACGGACAGACGGACATGCTCATATCAACTCAGGAGGTGATCCTGATCAAGAATATATATACTTTATAGGGTCGGAGATGTCTCCTTCACTGCGTTGCACACTTTTGACCAAAATTATAATACCCTCTGCAAGGGTATAAAAATAAAATTTCTAAAAAAAAAAAAGTTGATTTCTGATATCCCTGATAAACAATTCCTACTATTTATGGCACTTAAAAAGTTCCTCCCCTTTTTTTTTTGTTGCACTGTGTAATTTATTGCATATACATAAATGTACATATGTATTATATATAGCCTTAATATATACCAAGAAAACGAATCTAAGAACATAAACCAGATCTTGTTGCTAATCACCTCTCTCTAATCTCCAATAACCTTTGACATCCCTTTCGTACGAATTCTGTCTGTGGAATATTTTGGCATTTCTATATGTGTGGGTATTTCCCAATTCCTTATCAGACACTAAAGCTCAAGCTCATGGCCAAGGATGGCTATAAAAAGCCGGAGCTTGAAGACTCGCAGCATCAGTTCAAATATTCCCAGAGACTCTTTCAGTAGAAACTTCTGCTCAATTAAAAAAATACAAGATGATCTTCCCCGTGGCCATCATTTCTGCCATTTTCCTAATTTCTGCCTCCCTTGGATCGGAAGAAGTAATAGCCGTTTTGAGTGATTTATTTTAAAAAGTAATTTAATTTGTTATTCCACAGTCATGCTACCTCTCCGAAGAGCAGGAAGATCAATGTGCATCGGTTTGTTATCCAATCGTGAAACCTCTACTACGCTATTTTGAGAAAACTAATGAAAAGGATGCCCAGCTCCTAAGATGCAAGACAGACTATTCGGAACTTCAGAAACGATACTCGGATTTGCAGAGCGAGGATCTAAAACAATATGCCCAGATATCCAAATGCCAACTGGATTTTTCGGACTTGGTGAGAAAGCATTCGGAAGTGCAGAGTCAACTTAGTGATGAGAAAGTTAAAAATGCGCAGTTGCATTCAAAGCAGCAGGAAGTTGACAATCTAATAAATCAGAAAAATAAGGAAATCGACCTCCTAAAAGATCAAATAAGGGAACTAAAAGAAAAAAGTGAACTTACAAAGTTGACTAATCAGTTCAGCGAAGGCATTGCCAAGTTGGAAAAAATAGTAAAGATTGGAGGAATTCATGAAAATAATCCAACAAAGTCGGAAGTCGAAACTGGAGAGGTCCCAACAACTGCACTGCCCAATATTAAGATTGAGACGACTCCGAAAATAGAAACCATAGGTAAGTCGGCAGAACCCAGTAATTTACAAAATAACATAACGAGTTTTTCAGATTTTCCAGATCCTTGTCCACGAAACCAAAAAGAATTGTTAGTCTTCCGCGAAATCCAACTACCAGGCTCAGACCCGTTTAAATCGGTTTGTTATTCAGATTCGGATATTGGATCTGGATGGTTATATGTTTATAAAAAAATGTATACTTCACAAACATTTAATCGCACGTATGAGGATTATGAACGTGGATTCGGTGATGTTGGAACTGAGTTTGAAAATGAGTTCTTTATTGGACTCAACCGATTGCATCATCTGACCAGTGGAAAGCCTCATGAAGTGCTTTTATTTATCTATCCACAACCAATCAAATGCAACAACTTTATTGTGGCCGATAGAAGCGAAGGGTACAAGCTGAAAAGCATTCGCAATTGTATTGGATACGACTGGACGATCCCTAAGCAGGGTTCCAAATTTTCCACCTTCGATCGAGACGAGGATGGAGTTCCTTATCGTAATTTGGCAAAGGAATATGGCTATGGCTGGTGGTTCGATCCTGGTATGAGGTGTGTATTCTAGATTGGTTATTCCTTTTGTTTCATCTCCAACTGAACATTTCTAAAATAACTAACTCGAAACAATTTTTAAATTTTATTTTTTTTATTTAGAAGTAAGTTTTACATTGAAATGCACATCCGAAGAGCAGATTGAAAAAAGCAAACACCATTTTAACACGTACTTGGAAAATGAAACATTTTTATAAAATATAAAGATTAAAAATATTCATTAAAATGTAATTATTTTAATTTAAAAATTATAAAGACGATAATTAGATAAACTGTACTCTTCTATTTTTTAGGTTTTGATTAAAATAAATAAATAAAATAACTAAAAATTAATCAAAAATAATTTTTTTCACTGCAAAAAGGTAGAGATGGTCGGAAACCGACATTTAGAATTTCAGACATTTCAGGATCAGCCCCAAGGCTCCGCTTTTGAAAAATAAACAATCGACTCTTGTTTAGTTGTGGGTAGTGACTTAAGGGGGGGTATAAATAAATTGGTGCAGTTCAATTAACAGTTGAACAACATGTGTGAAAAAATATTAAATTAAAATATGATAATAACTTGATAATAACTATCATAATAATATGATAATAATAAAATATAATGATAACTTGTCACAGATTTATCTGAACTGAAAAAATCAAATTGCATTAGTTAAAGGACAAGATTCCTCAGGTAACGCAGTCGAGTTTAAGGCTATATCGACGCTATATCGAAGGCTATATAAATAGATATCGAAAAAATTATAATACCCTCTGCAAAGGGTATAATAAGCTATCATATAATTATAAAATACTCTTCCTTCCCTTTATTTTAATTTCAAAAATAATAGATTTTCTCTTTTTTTATTTTATTATACAATTTCTTAGCATTATCTTTGATGGTTTTTTTTTTACCTTTCGATTTTGTTAGATTTTTTAAAACTTTTTATGATTTTGTTTTACTTTCTATACATTTTTCAAAGTTTCTTTATCTTTCTATCTTTTTTTTTCATTAATATTTATAAAAATTTCTTTTTACTTTTTAATAAAATGAAGAAGATAGTATGTCTGACAAAGATGCAATGGATCGAATAAAAACCTCTAACAGAATATATCCTGAGAGAGGTTTTTATCCGATGCATTGGATCAGACAGGCATACGTTCTTCGTCCTCCGCCCTGTGATGATCGGGCGAATATTGTGGGGAATTGAAAAAACTGGATCTATTCGAGATTTTCGATCTAAGACGCTTACTGGTCACCAACTGGGACATTTTCCTTAATGTTATATAGTCCTTGTTCAGCATGCGACACAATTCGATGAAGGTACATAGTTGCGGGGACTTCAGTTCGGTGGCTAGGTCGTAGGCGGAATTAAGGACCTCGGTTTGTCGTTCGTATTTGTGGAGCACGGCATGGGACTTGGCCATCAACATAGTGGCCAGAAACTGCCAGACAAGACTGCTACATCGTTTCGCCTCGTCGATGGCTTTCTGGGCATAGGACAGGCACTGGACAAAATGATTCACTTGCATATGGCGATCGGCCAGCTCGTGGAGCAGATAGGTCCGTTCCATGGGTAGGCGGGCGAAAAAAAGACGTTTTTCCAATTGTAATATACTATTACTGTTATAGGAAAATTAAAATTAAAAAATAACTTGAATAGAATTTTAAATATGTAATTCACTAACTGATCAGCCATTCTATAGGTTGTTTGCTTCTCAGTTCCCGCATACGAATATGTGGATCTATCTCCAAAAACAAACTCCAAGTGCTCCAATGGCTTGGATACTGGAATATTGAGTAGATGGCACATTGCATTTTTGTCATAAGGCGACACCCGATGCGGTGGCAGTCGATAATTCTCACAGAGACTTAAAGCCAAGTGGTTATAGACCTCGTTCATAAACTCGACCTTCCAAGGCATGACCCGGGTGGTTTTAATAACCACATAGTTGCCCATCACATCCTCTACGAATTTGCGAAGTTTCTGTAAATATTTTTCAAACAAATTTATAAACAATGAATTATTTTCGCAATATATTTTTAAAGATATATCGTTGTATTGTTGGCCGATTAATTAATAATTTTCAATAAACCCTGGAATGGAAATATATATTTTTTAAATTTTTCTCTGAGCTCTTTTAAAAATGAAGAATGGTTTGGGAGTGTTAATATGGAAGGGCCATGTATTAAGGCATTTATATCAGATCCTAGATAAAAAAAAACACCTTAAGAAAATAGTAAATCGTATTTCTATCAATACTCATTAAAACTTAAGATCAAAATATTTTTTTTTTAATTTTTTTCCCCTTTTTTCTGGGGAATACCTGGGAGAAATGAAGAATGGCATTGGAAGCTATGTATATGGCTATATCGCTCTCGGGAAAGGTCATATCTTAGCCAATATATATCAGATCTTAGAGGAAAACACGTTAAAATAGTCGTACATCAATTTTCTAATAATATTAGTTTTAACTTCAAATCAACAAATATTAAAAATTAATTTTTTCGTTTTTTTCTGGGGGAGCACCTTGAAAGAGCTATATGGCCCACGGTGAAGGTTATATCTTTGCCAATATATATCAGATCCTTAAGCGGAATACACTAAAAGAACCCTAAATCGATTCACTATCAATATTTAATAGAACCGTAAAATAAAATATTTTTTAAAGATTTTAAAAGTTTTTCGGAGAGAGTCCTCTTGAAAAAACTAGGAAAAGCATGTAAAGGAGAAAATGGCACTCTGGGAAGGTCATATTTTTGCCATTATATGTATATTCAATCCCTAATTGAAACAATTTAAAAGAAGCTAGATCGATTGGCTATTAATTTTCTTTAAAACCTTAAATAAAAATATTTTTAAAAATTTTTTAAATATTTTCCTGGAGAAGTAAGAAAAATGACTCGAAAGGTGGAATAAATCCCTCAAGGAAATCTATATCTCTCCCAATATATACACAATCCTTAAAGGGAATATCTTTAAAAATTTTAGATCTAATTACCATCGATAACCGGTATCTAAATCGATTAATAATCATACGAAATCCTTATAGAATTTACCTTGATATCGTTTCGCTTCCTCAGCAATCGAATCGTATTGAGAATACTGTGCATGTTCCGCCTGGTCTGGTATTGGATCCTAAACAGATTGGCTTCCCTCAGGTCGGCCATCATCTGGGGACTGCGCTGGAAATATTCGTTATACATGGGACTCCTGGCATGCAGCATCCTGGCAAAGGTCTTGATCCTCTGGAAGGACCTGTAAAGATAATCACTTCTCTCCTTTGAGGTGCCAAAGCCGCCGTTCACCAGGAGATTGGGATTCCTTCGTAGAGTCTTTAAAAAAATAAAATCCGTCCATGTCCGGCCAAGATAGTTCTGGTAAAAGATTTTCGTTTTCCGGCGTCTTCGTTCCATTTCCAAAGGCGATAGCATTACCTCCTTCTTATCTATGACACTCTGGACATCGCACTCCTGTCGCTCCTTCAGGATTTTCCACAATGGTCGAGTATCGGCCTTTATGAGTTGATCCCTCTTGTGTTCATAGAACCCAGGCATTTGATCGGAATGCTCCAGAAAGAAGCTGACCAAACTATCCCCGGTGCTATCCTTGAAGTTCTCATCCACCACCCCGAGACGTTTCTCGAATGGCCTTATCGAAGTTCCAATGTGCTTCCGGATATTATTGTGGAGTATGGATTTGTTGTCCTCGAAACGGTTCAGATCATAGAGACAATCACCCTCTTCCATGGCAAAGGCTGGCACATCGTCCGAGAACTTGCACGCCTTCTTGCTATCCTTGAGGGCCAACGATGGCATGGCCACCGATCTCAGGAACTGACTCCGCATATGCAAAGCCTGGGTATCGATATGCGAATGATTCTCGATGCACAAATCAAAGTACTTCTGGGCGGCATTGTTCATCCGGGCTCTGGAAAAATATTGGCCCCAACTGCGATGGATGCCCCTTTGTTGTTCCACCGGCCAGTCGAATAGCTCCCATGGCTTCTGTTCCTTCACGAGGACACCTGCCGGTGCCGTAAGTGTCGAATCTACCTTCATTGTTGGTTCCTCGTCGGTTTAATAAAAAAAAAAACAAAGTAAAAAACAAAAACTACAAGAAACCCTAAAAACAATTAATTATAATCTAAAAAGAACACAATAAGACTAAAGTTTTTATATAAAAATGAAAGAAAATGCTAGGAAATCGAAGAAAAAAATATGAGGAATGTTTATAAAGACTTGGGAGATCCAGATTGTAAAATTTTAGAAATTTCTTTGTTTAAATAAGAGGTATGATCACAAAATATAATCACACTCTGTATATATAATATCTCTCTCTCAAAAAAAAAGGTGGAAAACATTAACAATTCAACCGCAAATAGCAATACAAAAATGGTATGTCCATATAAATTCCATTTCTTAAGGTACATAGTCCGTCACATCACTTCGGCTGGAAGGGATCCTTGCGAATGTACGAGTCCAGACGGGAATCGCCATCTTTCTCCACCTGAGACAGCTCCCCAAAGCCCTCCTCATCCACAAAACAAATCTCATGACCATCCGGATCCGCCAGAATGAGAACCGTAACGGATGCCTTGTCCGGCGTATCCAGAGTAATCAATGGCTTCAATATCGTTGTGCCGGCCGCCTTGACAGCCTCATGAAGTGGCGGTTGCTTGGCTGCCGGAATAGCGAAAGCAATCCGTCCATAGGCCTTGGCTCGGTCCAATGGATCCGAGATTTCTGTGATCACCAACGAGGCCTGCTTGCTGCCGTAACTCAAACGCAGGCTCTTGTCCTTCTCCTCGAGCAGCTGCATCTGGAGGAGGTTGTGCCAGTAGTTCTTCGATTTTGGCAGATTAGTGACATTCAGTTCCACTGATTGAACGGGATCGGAGCCAGCCGCCGGTGCCTGGTCGATGATGTAGAACTTGTAGCCATCGGGAGAAGTCAGAAGACTGCCTTCTTTTCCGTCGATTTTCTTGACGGGATACGAATGCTTGGCGGCACGGGACAGGATGTCCTTGGAGTGTATGGTAACGCCACCAAAATCGTTGCCTGAAAAGCAGAAAAACATGAATTAGTTAAAGAAACTAAGAAAAGAATAAGTGTTAAGCTTTTAATCTTAAAAACTTACTTAACTAAACTTACTTATTTATAATTTTAATACTTTATCATCGATAGAATATCTTTAATCATTTTTATTTATAAACTATCTTTTAAGAATCTTATTGCTGATTTCTTAAAATTAAACTACTTCTGCTTGACTTTCATCTAATTTCCAGATTAATTTTAATCAAATGATTATTTAAAAATAATCACTTGTATGAAGCTTAACCTGCTTTGTCATTTATCAAATCAAAGTTTAATAATAGCCTTAAATATTGCGTATCAAAGCCACTTCATTATAAAATTGTCAATGTAAGAACTAGCCTTTTGTGCTTTCCGATAAGACGACAAGTGATTTCTTTATTTTTTTTCAAGTACTTTCCTAAATACGTTTAAAAAATACTCCAAAAAATAATCTTGCTATTTAGTTGCTTGATCATGAAGGCGTCATAAAGAAGTTGGGTTTTTAAAAAGATTTTATAACATTTTATTTAAGGTAATCTATTTAAGCTTTTTTTATGGGAAAATAATTCTCTATCACGTGAACTATTCTCTATTGTTGAACTAATTGTCTTATAATTATCTTCTTTTTAAAGATTATTATTATTATTATAGCAAGTAATTTATTTAAAAAATTACCGATTCTATGCAAAGACTACATTTTTAATAAAATATTAAATCAAGCTGTGATGTATATTATTTTAGAAAGTATAAAAAGAAATTGATAAACAAAAATTAAAATAATACGAAAATTAAATTTTAGAATAAAATCCATTTGAAGGAATATTAATCTAAATAAAACATAAAAATAAAAAATATATTTAACAAATCGTTAAAACCTGTTAAAAATAGGTACTATTTAATAGAAACTTGATAAAATCAATTCTTATACCAAATTAAAATCCACACCATGTAGATATTTTATTTATGTACCAAGATCTACCATATAAGGATCTATAATATTTAAAAGAAAATTTAAAAAAATTTAAGAAACCTTCTTTAAAGCTTAATAATTAAAAAAATGTCTAAAATATCTATATATCTTCTCCATAATTTCCAATACAACATATGAGTTCCAAATGTCTATTTTGTCTATATCTATATGTCTATATCTTCCATATATCTTCTCCATAATTTCCAGTACATTATATGTCTTTAATGTCTATTTTTTTAAGCTTAAAATATAAAAATTTTTAGAATTTTATTTCTTAATAATTTCTCACCCAATTCGTAGCTTGTTACTCCATAATTATATGTCAATTCGATCACAAAATGCGAGTCCTCTGGGCCATAACCGATCATAGTTTTGCTCCAGCGATTATCATAGGGTCTGTTTAGAATTTAAAAAATTAAAAATTATAGTTAGTCCTTGATTAGTCCTTTAGTAGCACCCACTTACCCATTGCATTCCGCGTCACAGCCTTCTTTGAACTCCTCATGCCGCAAAACCTGTTTGTCATGTGAGAGAGAGAGTGAGATAGACTGATAAGAACACGCAGCAAACAAAAAAAAAAAAAAAAAGTTACACAGTCATTAAACATTATCGGGCATCTGGGCTTTTTAATTAGCCAAGTCGTTGACACGTCGTTGAGATAAAAGAAAAAGACGTCTGCGTCCAGACATAACATACTATAACTTTCCCGATAAGGATTCCTGATGATCCCCCCACCATCCCATCACTTACCTTCATGCCCAGAATTTGGCGGAAGAAGAAGGCGTTCTTGGCCCGATCTCCGATCTTGAAAACATAATGCAAGGCACGTCCCGGTATGGCTGTCATCTTTCTTCTGTATATTTTTTTCTTAAAATTTCTTCAATCCGTTTGTTTATTATTCCGGATTTGTACTGTTTTCTGCCGCAATTACGGAGGGGCTTTTGTACGACGGTTTTAGTGTGACCTTAGGTGCGGCGTTTACAAAATACCAGTGTTTAAGAGCTTTTCAAGATACCAGATTATGTGTTTAAAAGGGATAAATATTTAAGAAATTAAAAATATAACGAGAATATATTAATACCATGCCATTTAGGACAACTTTAAATGTTTTTTGACGAAATATTAGTTTCTAAAATAAATTATAAAATTTTCATTTGGATTTTTTAGCATTTCTAAAGCTTGAAATTATCTAATAAATTAATTGAAACAAGCTTTTAATTAATAGCTTCAAAGTCAAACACTTTTATACAAAATTTTTTTAATTCCAAGCTTGTTAATAATTTTATAAAAATTTTTACAATATTCATTGGGTTTTTTTGCAAATTTAATTAATTGTGATTAATAATACATCATTAACTCTAAAATACATAATAACATATTTTATTAATTAATTATTTTTTCGTAAAAAATATGCTTTACAGTTTTTATATGTAAAAGATGGTAAAACCCCTTAAGTATGTATATAATTTTTTAAAATATATTTTTAAGGAATAAATACATAAATTACTTCTTGGTTTTACATTATTATATTGATATTTATTTAATAACAACTAAAATGGTAAGTCTAATTTCTAATTTCTTGAAGTTTTATTAAAAACTGACAAATAAAACTATTTTTAAAATAAATTTCTATAAAAAATTATTTAAAAAAAATATATAATTTGTTTTTTAAATACATATATGAATATATATTTTTTTAAGTTTTATACTTGAAGGCACTTTTTTTCTTAGGAACATAAACGATTAGAGGTTTATACTTAAAAAAATACTCATGCCTAGAGATAAAATAAATAAAGATTTAAAGTAAATTTAAATTATTAAAAAATTAGTACTATAATTTAGTCGATTACTCTATTCTCTATATATATTTCTTTATGAAAAAAATTCCCATGCCATTTCTGCTAGCTTTGCAATAAGAATTGTTTAAATTATTTTTTGTAAAATAAATAAACTAAGAAATGTCTTTCCCACAAAAAGGGTGAGAAAATATTTCGTCATTGATACTTTCTGTCTATAAATATTTATTTTTTTTGGATAAACAATTTGCAAAAAAAAATTAATAAATAAATCAAAATGCTTACTTTTCATAAAAAATTTCATTTCAATTTCTTGGCGAAGGGTAATTATAAAATTAATTTAATAAATTAAATCATAATTATAAAATCATATTCAAAAGGTGAATTTCATAATTATGTCTTAAGTTATATATCTGATCCGATTCAGATATAATCCTTTAATTTCCCAACAAAAGAAACTCTCAAAAATTAATACTTTAGAAAATATGTATATTTCAAACATCAAACATTATTAAAAAATATTCAATATATTTATATAAAATATATATGTATATAAAAAAATTAATACAGTATGTAATATATGTAAGAATAAGTAACAACTTTAAGTCGCAAGTTTTTCTTGGTTTCTAAATTCCAAAAAAATAGTGAAAATTCAAAAAAAAAAACCGAAAAACTTTCTTATTTTTTGTGTACTTCAGGTACAGGCTAAAGCTAATTTTGGAATGTGATAATCATAAGATATCCAACTCCTCTTCCACCTCGTCATCCTCCTCCTCATCATCATCATCATCCTCCTCCTCCTCCTCCTCTTCTTTCACTTTGGGTTCCAGCTCATAGCTTGACCAATCGGGATCTTGTTCTTTTTGCTTCTGCTCCACCACAGCCTTTTCCTTGTCAGCCTCCACCTGCGGCATCTCCTCGTCGGCATCCTGCTCCTGGTAGTGCTGCCTTTGACGCTTCCTGCCACTGTGCCGGCGCAAGTGCAACTCCAGGTTCTGACGCGTCACGCATGGCTCCTGGCAGTGAATGCAAACTAACGGCCAGGATTCCTCAACCGGCTCAGTCTCTTCCACCTCGACAGAGACTCCACCTCTGGCTGATGATTTCTTTGTGCCGCGCGATGACTTGCCGTGCACCCTCTCGTGACGCAACTGGGAGGCATGAGTGCCGAACCGCTTCTCGCAGTGACCGCACTGGAAACGCCGCTGCCCCTCGTGGACGACCCGAACATGCCGGGTTATGGCGCTCTTGTGGCGAAACAGCTGCGGACACTGTTCGCACTTAAAGCGCTCCCAGGTGGGATTGTGGGTGCGCATATGGGTGCGCAGTTCGGTGCGCGTCACCTTCGCCACGCCGCAGTGCTCGCAGACGTGCTCCTTGGTCTGTGCGTGCCGCTTCAGATGCTCACCGAGAGCATTCTTTGTGCTGTACTGCCGGTTGCAGAGTTCGCAGATCAGTTCGCGCAGCTCCTGGAGTTGCTGCTGCTGCAGCTGGGGATGGGCGTTGCGTTGATGGGAGCGCAGCTGCTCGTAGCGGGTGAAGGACTTGTCGCAGTTGCGGCACAGAAACGGCTTGGAATGACCCTGATGGACGCTGCGGATATGAGCCTCCAGGTAGGGCAGCTTGTAGACCTGCTTGCCGCACTCGTTGCATGCCAGACCGGCTCGTTTCTGCTTGTGCTGCGGCATGGGCTGCTCCTGCCGAAAGTCCTGCCTCTCGCGCTGCTCCTGTTCCGGTGGCCCGGCTGGTCCTTCTATGTGCTCTTCACCAGCATTTAGAGTCAGTTCCTGCTCCTCCTTCAGTTGTTCATCAGCCTCAATGTCCAGCGGCTCCTCCTTCACCTGTTAAGACCCTAAGGAAGCGTTAAATATTTGGCCAAAAGCTACAAAATCCAGCATATATCCACCCTGGGGAAATCCTGGCTATCCTTTAGCTGGTCGCACAGCTTTTCGGTCGTCTCCCTGGCCACCTGGCACAGCTCCTCGAAATAGGCCACAGCATTGTGGCACAAGTTGCAAATGTCGGTGGGAAAGCCGGCCTCCTGATGCAGGATATCGATGTCCAGGAATTTTTTCAGCAAAATAATCAGTCTGGAGTTTGGTTTTTGGGGGTCCTTGAGCTGGCGCAGGCAGATCCTGCAGAGGCGGGCCAACTCGGCGGCGGATAACATCGCTGCGATCGGTTGGGAGTCGCCAAAGGCAATGAACAACTTCGTTTTAGATTTTAATAAAGTTTTCTTTAAAAAAAAAAAAATTCCCCAGCTGTTACAGTGAGTCGTTGGCAGCGTTGCCAGACTGTTAAAGTAACAAAATAAAAGATCAATAATAAAATAATAGACAATAATAAAATAATATCTATATCAACATATAAATAAATTAATATTAACTATATAAATAAAATTAATTAAATATATTAACCCACATGTAGTGTTGTAAGGCCATTGAAAATACCAGGGATGGCACAAAAGAACGATTTTTTGGTATTTTACAAACCGACACGGCACGGTCACACTTGCCCACTAAATTCCAAGAGATTCTTCAGGTCCAAGTTTTTACTTCACTTTTTGTTGGTTTTTCAACACCCGCTAAACACTTAAAGTTCGCCCAGGATATTGGATATCCGCCACACAGCTGACGCCGCAGAAACACATAGTGATAGCAGCCAAATAAAACATAATTTCGCCAGAATGTCTCTAAATCCGCAGTACGAGGATATTGGCAAGGGATTCGTCCAGCAATATTATGCCATTTTCGATGACCCGGCGAATCGGGCCAACGTTGTTAATTTCTATAGTGTAAGTGTCATACATCTTAATTATGCTGAATGTTTTTTGCGCTTTTTTTTTCGCCGTATTTTCACATAAAAATTGCGCTCCCGCTTTGCGCTTCTGCTTGCTGCTGCTTCTTCTTCTTCTGCTTTTGCATCTTCTTCCTCTTGCTAATGGCCAGCTCTTCTTCCTTCCCGCTCACTCCTGTGGAGCACAGGTGACGCGCGACGCGCCCTTGAAAAATTCCGCCTCCAGCAGCAGCAGCGGCAGCGACATCGGTGGCAGAAGTAGCGCAGAAAAAAAAGAGCGCGCAAATCAAGAATGTGCATGAACTTTTTCGGCGGAAAATTGCAGCAGCTGAAAATGATGAATATTTTTAATGCTGGACCATGAATATAGAGGTGTGCGGTGAAAGAAAGAGAGAGCACCGGAGGGGAGCATGGATTCTCGAAGTTTCGGGTGACACATGCCACACACACGCACGCACAAACATACATATCTCTTATATACATATATGTATAGGCTACGTTGGTGGTCAATATTATAGCAACTACAAATATGTATAAAAAATATGAGGAGAAAATTCTGTTTATCTTAAAAGTTGTATTTTTGTCTTAAATATATGACTTTAGTTTTTAATAAACTAAATTATCATTATTTAAGTTTAATAATTTTATAATATATTTAGAAACCTAAAAAATACCATGAATTAGAAGATATCTTATAATAATTATAAAAATGAGTAAGAAATTTTTGTAATTGCTAACTTTTTTTTAAACTTTAATAATAAATTATAACTTATTTATTTTATAGTTCCTCAAATCATGATTATTCATGTCCAAAAACCACATATTCTGTCAGAAGCTTACAACTTTTATTTAATTTAATTATTTTATAACTAATAAATTAAGAACTAATAATATATTTTATTTACTTAGTACTAAGTACATTTATTTTACCAATTATCATATATTCTATTGACTTTTTATAACGCATTTTATAAGAAATTTCTAAAATTAATTAATATTTTTGATCTTTTCCAGGCGACAGACTCGTTCATGACCTTCGAAGGCCATCAGATTCAGGGAGCACCAAAAATTCTTGAGAAAGTACAGGTAAGTACCGAATGAATTTAACCATTAAGAAACCTATTTAATAATATTATTATTTTTAACTTTGCAGAGTCTGAGTTTCCAGAAGATCACCCGTGTCATAACCACAGTTGATTCGCAGCCCACCTTTGACGGCGGTGTTCTGATTAATGTTCTTGGTCGACTGCAGGTGAAGATTACAAAAAAATAATATAAATACCCCATACTTAGTTAAACTTAAACAAAGACTAGAACCATGAATGAAATTATTTCAATGGCTTGAGTCTTTTTTTTAATTAGTGGCGGTTAGGATAATAGCACTGTCTTTTTTGTAGTGTAGTTTTTTTTTAAAAGCACTTTACAAAGTTTTTTTTTTTTGCTTCATAATTATAGTCTTGATACTTGTAAAAAATGCTAAGATATATCCATAACTCTTAACCAGAAAACCTATACCCAGCTTGTAGTAATTATAAACAATTTTTTTTCTAGAAAATTAAATAAAAACCTATCGTTTAACATTTCCTAGTATATTCGGGCAGTGCTATAATTCAATCGCCAAACAGCTGCTTCAGCTTTATATATGAATATATATATATATATATACATACTTTTATATATCCTATATCGTATATATCTCAATTTTGGTTTGTGTTTGTATCGAATTCGTAACTGAAATCGTAATTGAAATTAAATAGACGGACGAGGATCAGCCGCATGCCTACATACAGACCTTCGTTTTGAAGCCAGTTGGTGGGAGTTTTTTTGTGCAACACGATATCTTTCGGCTATCGCTGCACGATGTGTAGCAGCTTCATCGATCTGCCATCGATCCCCCCATACGCTCCACTCACCTGACGACGGCGACAGGCCATAATAATATAAAATGCAAGAAACCGAAACGAGCCAGAAAAGCAACCAAATGATTTGAAAGTCTTGCACCAAAACGACAAGCCAACAAATTTCAAAATATATATTTATATGTGTATTTCATTATCCTGTGCGGCAGTCCAGCCCAAAACTCTCCGCCCACAAAACCAAGAAAACTTCTAATTTTCCAACTGCCCTCACAGTACGTGAATGCTGAAATGAAAAATCGAGACAATTAACCAAAAACACCAAATTATTTCATTAATGTTCTTGATTTTATTTGAAATTTGTAAACTTAACAAAATAAGATTTAATAAGACTATATTCTTATTATTTTAATAATTTCTTAAAAATATTTAAAAATTCAAAACTGGAACATGAATGAAATCGAAAACCTTTAATTTTGTGCATGGTTTTTGTTAAATTTTGTGTTTGGTTGTTTAACAAAAAAATGCAGTGGTCGCTGAAAAAAAATAAAACTAAATTCTATATATAAAAAAAAATATATATTTATATAAACAAAATTCAAATTATATATGATTATTTTTTTAAAGAAAAAACACCATAATATAATAATCTAGCCACTTTAATGAGCGATCACTGTACAGTAAACATGCACCTGCACACTTCTAGTATTTTATAAATCGGCTGCCAGCTGTACACCCTCTTTACCTTTGACCTTTTGGCTTGAATTTGTGTTTACTTTTCGATCCAACCAACCACAGTACCTCTTAACCCCTTCTACCACTTCAAAAAATGACAAAATTGGTTTTACGCACGCTTTTTGAACTAACTTTTATGAACTTTTAATATTTATTAAGTTAAAAAAAATTGAATATTAATGAAAAATTATATTTATTTTATTTTTTTTGTAGTGCGACGAAGATCCGCCGCATGCATTCTCACAGGTTTTCGTACTGAAGGCAAATGCTGGCACCTTCTTTGTGGCCCACGACATCTTCCGGCTGAACATCCACAACTCTGCATAAAGAAAACTATAAATTAACGAATGAACTAAATAGAACTAGGCCCTAGGAATCGCCGAACTATGATTTGCAGATCAAGAACACACACTATAATTTATCCAAAGATGCGGCTGAAAAACAAACACATCAACTGGCTGCCCAGTGGAAACTCAATAATAATGTGGACAGCATGTTCTCACGTTTATCAACAAGAAGAAAAAAAAAAAAAAAAAAAAAACCAACAGAAAAAAAAAACCAAACACAATAACACGAAATTATATGCTAAACTACTATTACGATGTAAACAAATGTGAGCTTTTGCGCTCGAATTTACCTTTAACATTTTTTGTTCGCTTTTGTCAAGCCCGGTACTCTGAATTGTCGGGATTTAATAACATTTATTTTATATTTTGTTTTGTATTCTATGAACTATATTTTTCATTTTTTTTTTTTAATTTTTGAAAAGTTTCAATAAATACATTTTTTCTTGTTTTTCATTAAAAATTATGAGTACATTTTTTTGACACAAACGCCGAAAACCCCAAAAGCTGAGTACCGGGTATATATTAGTTTCAACTTTTTGAGAGATGGAGATTTATCTTTTATTGAGACAAAAAAAACAAAAAAAAAATAATAAGAACACACTTAAATATAAAGATTAACGTTAAACTGCTGTTGTATGTATGATCAGTGATATTCCAGAGCTGGCAAAAAAAAAAAAATATATAAGAATCAAATATATATATATATATATATTAATTTAGAAAACCCGGCAACTTAAAAACTATTAAATGCATAAAAAAAATAAGTTCCCGATGACGAAATGAATTTAATTTTTCTCGCTGGCTAATATTCATTTGTCGCGAAATGTGAAAACGGCATCGAATCCAAAGAGCACACCATTGACAATGGACAAGGAGGCCTTGATTAGGGCCAGATCACGGGTCCTGGTCCGGAACGAGAACTCCCAGGCTTCGATGATGAATACACCGCTGGCCACGAAAAGAGTGGAGCCGAGGACGCTGAAGAAAATGTCGATGCGCTTGTGGATGGGCGCTCGCATTAAAACGCCTAAAAAAATAATTATTTTTTGGGATTATAGTTTGTAAGAGTTTTTTGAGTGAAAAAAAATGGAACAAATATTTTCTTTAGTTTTTTTTGTAACTTTTGGAACATGTATAAAATCAAAAATGAATTTTTTTTTTACGACTTTAAAGGAAAATTGTTGTTTCAAAAAAACTATAACTATAAAAAAAAATTTCTTAAAAACGAAATAAATTTTTTTTATGGCATGCATAATTTGATTTTAATTTTTTTTCTTAAACAAAATTTATATAATAACTTACCAGCAAATACCCCTATGACCACTATTATATATCCTGTAAATGTTCCGGTGGCCAAAAATGAGGTCATAATATCTCGATCATTGAAACTATAGAAATGCAGAACCAAACAGGCCACAGCAAAGCCCTAAGAAATTTAATTTTAAGAAAGGAAATATTACTTTTTGTTTCAAATTTGTAAAAAACTAGGAATTAACTATTATTTTTTCTTTGGTATATTTTTTTAACTTCTAATTAACACTTAAGAAAAAAAAAAGAATTAAGACTTTACCAATTCCAAAAATTTAACAACATTAAGGCGACCTTTCCGTTCGCCGTGAGACATTTTGTGAAATTGCTGTCGCTGACAATCTTCAAAAATGTGGTCCAGTTTGAAAAAACACTTTTGATCTTTCTAAAAAAATATTTATAAATCGAATCCGGTTATGGTCATAGGTTATATAGTTATTTATTTATTTTTTGTTTTTGGCAAATGTGCACAGGTCGACTGCCCAGAAGTAACTGATTTATCCAACCATCATGCTATATGGTTGGGGATGCTAGTCTGCAGTTGGGAAGCGCAGCCGCCGAAATTAATTAATTACACTTAGGAAATAGGCTTTTCATTGGACATTTCTCATCTGATTATCTGATTGTTTATGGAGATACCGGACCCGGGGCAGCGGACCCCACCCATAGACCGGTGACTGGAGACCGGAGACCGAAGACCGGAGCTTGTTGTTATTATTTCTGTGAAGTGGACACCGCCCGGTGATCGGAGCAAAAAAAAAAAAAAAACAAACATTGTCTTCGTTGTAAAATGCACTTGAGGCGTAGGAGACCCAACCCTTTACAAAAAAAAAATATAAAAAGAAAACTACTTGATTGAGTGGGTCCAGGGTAAACATAATTTTATTCTTTCCATATGTGAGAATAATTGTGATTGCATTACCCCAAATTCTCCATCAGGGAAGGTTACATACCGCTCAAGATCGGAGCATAAAATGGGGGTAATGGGAATAATTACAAAAATTCTAGCCAAAAATTGGAAAATTACAGGTTTACAGATTTATGAACTGAAAAATGGTACTATAACCCATAATACCCATAAAAAATATAGCTTATCTGTATTTATTGGTAAACTTACTGATATGATACAACAAAAACATTTTAATCTATCTTTAGTCATGGTTATCGATTCCAGGTCCAGGTATTATTATTTGACATAAAAATATATATATTTACTATTTTAGATTAACAATTGCATGTTTTTTTTGCATTTAGTAATTAGAACGAAAGCTAATTTGGTTTTGTGAAGCTTTTTGTCTTTGCAATTTAACGCCAATTACCGGTAATTTGTTTGCTTTTGTATTTTCATTAAATGTTAATCGCTGTCATTTGACAGCAAAATAGCAACAATAACTAGTTTTAAAATTATGTAAAAAAAAAACTATTACGAGGCTTAGAATTTATTAGAAAATCAGTATAAAACTTATGGTAGACTTAAGATTTAACTCTCTTCAATTTATCGTTTAAAAAATTTTTTTTTTATCTTTAAAATAGAAGATTTTTTATAAAAATCCTTATTAGTTGGGAATTATAATCCAAAATCTAGATTACATTTTGTAAGCTTCATTTAGTGTATGTACCCTTTTATAAACCCTATAAAATACCTTTGCGTGCAATTCCTGAACAGATCCAACCTGATCTCAGTCTATAAGTGCACCTGAAGCTTTCAAAATGCTAAATCCCGAGTTGATATCTTTCGAAAACCCGGTCTTTCGTTGCTACTTGGGTTGGTCAGCCATTTTGGTGTTGAAAATTTTTGCCGCTGCTATATATTCGGGTCTGATGCGTTTTTTCACTTCAGTAAGTATCCTTTTTTAAGTTTTCAACATAAATTTTAAAATTCTAAAAAAAAATATACAAGCAAGGAAATAAGTCTTATACATTCTATACATATATATATTGGATATTCCGTATACCATGAATAAAGCTACATAATTTTGACCTCTACTGTGGGGCCACGTCCCTTTCTTACCGCAACACGCATACATTTGCTGGCTCAGAATGACATGACACTTTCAACATTAGCTAGAGGAAGACGGAAAATGAGAGAAATAGCTTTTTTGCCGGCTATATTTGATGAGAAAGAGAGTAAAATAGCGCCAGAGAGCACTTCTCAGCGTCAAAACGATGCCTTACCTAGTCGATTACTTCATGCATGCATGTTATATTACTAGTAATCGATTAAATAAAGATCAGAATACTTCAGAAGAAATGGGGTATTCTTTCCCTTTAAATAATATTAAATTTAATATAAAAACTTTGAGTTTTGAAAATTTCAGTTTTCTTCTTTTCTTCAAAAAAAAATCTTTTCTTCAAAATAAAGAAAAATCAATTAATAATTAGTTAAAATATATGCTTGAAACACTATAAATTTGTTCATTGATTACCACCTTATTACTGGTAATGCATTACTTTGGCAGCCCCCAGCGGGTTGTTTGTCGTTAGCTTCCCGTAAGCTTCCCGATTACCGGCATATAAATTGAGAGAGCCATCACTGGAGGCGCTCACTACATTTGGAACACTCGTGCGATCGGGAGAAGAAACTAAAGATTATTTTTAAATTTTAAATCACAAGCACAATACAAAAAAAAAAAAAAATATAATAAAATGACTAGCCCTGTGGAATTGCTTAGCCTGACGAATCCCGTTTTCAAGAGCTATGTCTTCTGGGTCGGAGTTTTGGTGATCAAAATCGTCCTGATGAGCCTCCTAACGGCAATTCAGCGTTTCAAGACGAAGGTGAGACAGGGGGAGAGTGAACGATTGGGAGGTAGGGTGGGTGTCGCACAGTGGGACGGGGTCAAAGTCTCGCCGTGTAGAGAGAAAGTTGATTTTAGTTCCAGTGATTATACAAAGCTATCGGTTTGTGAAATTGTATCAATTTAAAAAAATGGCCAAATCCGCTTTTTATGATATTTATGTTGAAATAGGTTTTTTATTTAAAAAAATAAATCCTAATTAAAATTATTTTAAAACAACAAATAGCAAAAAAAATTGTAAAATGTAATATAATTTAACAAAAACTTCTTTACGACTAAATCGTGTTTTTTTTTTAATGTTTATCCCAAACTAGTAGTACCCATGATTACTAATGGATACTTCAAAGTACTTTCTTTATAAGGAAATCAAATAAAAATATTTTTTTATAGACATCATAAAGCCTTAAACAATAAAGCCTTAATAACACATATTTATTATTTTCTAGACCTTTGCCAATCCCGAGGATCTGATGTCCCCCAAGCTGAAGGTCAAATTCGATGACCCCAATGTAGAGCGTGTCCGTCGTGCCCACCGCAACGATCTGGAGAACATTCTGCCCTTCTTCGCCATCGGACTGCTCTATGTTTTGACCAATCCCTCGGCCTGGTTGGCCATCAATCTGTTCCGGGCCGTGGGTATTGCCCGTATCGTTCATACCATCGTTTACGCCGTGGTTGTGGTGCCCCAGCCCTCTCGCGCCCTCGCCTTCTTTGTGGCCTTGGGCGCCACCATTTACATGGCCCTCCAGGTCATCGCAGCGGCTGCTTTTTAAATAAGAGTTAATCTAGTCACAAAATTCCATAAATTGTTTACATTTTTGTAAAAGATTATTATTTTTTTTTTAAATACATATAACAAACATGGCCATGGTGCTACATTTTTAAGAAATCATATTTTTAATGGGGTTTTTAATGGGTTTTAATGCTTATTGGGAGTTTTTTTTTTTTAACAATATATAAGTATTTTTAGTATTAACTACTCTGCCCTCCAATACAAATTTTCTTTTGTTATCAGCACACGGCTAAGCAGTTTAAAAAGCGGGATACTGCTTGCTTTTAAAACTGCTTGCCCTTGGCTCAAGACAAGCCGTGGGGCCTAACAGAAAGAGAGCGAGAGCGCGGAGGCCTATACAACCGGTTATCAGTGGAGCCCTCTCTAACATGCTAGGGTTGCACAGTGGGATGATTTAATTTTTTTATACAACTTTTTAAATCTTATAAAAAATAATTCAATTAAGACATACTTTATTCACATACCAAAATATAAATAAATATAAAAACTTTAAAATACCTAATTAATTTTTTAAATTATTTTAAATATTTAACATAATTTTTGTAAAAAATTAAAATTTTACTTCATTTATATTAAAATACTATTACCAAAGTAATAATTCAAATATATAATCGATTCCACTGTGCTCTGAAAGCAAGCAGCCCCCAAGTGCGAGGAGCAGAGCTCCGACAATGTTCAATTGCTGTCGTTGGCAGCATCGTGGCGGTTGAGTTTACGCTCCTTTGGCTGTGTTTTTATTTTGATTTCCTGAAACACATCTCCGCACTAGTAAGTATTCTGTGAAATCCAATTAATCCACTAGAAAGATTTTAAAAATAAAGCCTAAATCCTTGGAAAGTTCATTCATTCCTCTCCATTTTTTTTTTTTTTTGGCAAAAGTGCAGTTGCAGCTGAAACTCCATACTGTTGTCTCACTTACACTTCCCCAAAGTTAAAGGCCCCCCTCACACCTTTTTCTTATTGAAGTTGCCGGTTTTATTTTTGTTTTTTGCACAAAAAAAAAAGAGAAAAACATGTGCTTGTCTATTTTTTTTTTATTCGGAAGCCCGCGTGCTAGCAAAAAAATATATATGTGTGTGTATATGTATTTGAATATATATTTGTGAATATTTTTTTTCTATTTTTTTGCGTTTTGTGTTTTGATAGATAAACAAAAAAAAAAAAAAAAGAGCAATACAAATGTCCAGCGGAACTTGTTGGGTCTCTTTTCCTCGCTCCTTGGTGGGTGGGGGAAGAAGCAGACTGTTAGAAGAGAGCGCAGGATGGTAGAAGAAGAGGAATGAAATCAGGATAGACAAGATTTTTACACTGTCAGAAATGTTTTACTATTTTAGTTTTGAAATTCCTTTTTATATAAAATAAAATGATATATGTTTTATTTTTATTTTCATAAAATCATTTCCGACCTGCCCTAAAATTTATTGCCCAGTAATATAACCCTATACTATATAATAACCTGCTTATATCATAAACACACAGGTGAATATTCCCACCCAGTTGACTTAATTTCAAGTAGCGTATCAATCACTGCCACTCGGGGAAACCTTATCTCTTAAATAAATATTCGAACGGGTGCCAACTACTTTTATTTACTAACCTTAGAGTGGAGAAGAAAAAAAATGGGAAAAAGAAAAGAAAAGTCTATAAAAGGAAAGATCAATGAACCAAGAACCAGTATTCTTTCTTTTCCTGAAGAGGACAATAGTAACTATATTTTTCTGTTCTTTTTTTTTCTAATCGTGAACTTTCCCCATTTGTTAAGATAAGAAAAACCTTGAGATTTATTTAAAAAAAAAAAAATTTATAGTTAAGCTTGAAATAAATATTTTGATTTCTAAAAGCAAATAAATAAATTGTCATTTCCGTTCAATGAAACTTAATACTTGTACGCAGTATAAATTTTCATTTCAATTTTCTAATTGTTTTCTTTAAACTAAATCTGTCACATCATCGATTATGTATATATTTTTTTAAGCCTGATTTAGCATTATAATCTTAAACTATTTCACAATTTGAAACGGCATGAGACAACGAAAAATAAATCTATTTTGATTCAAGATTCCAAAATTTCTTACGTATGCAAACCGAAATCTAGAAATCTGGGGTGATAAGGTCTATGGGGGGTCATCGTAGGTCTAAACCCAACATCTGGCGATGCGACACTGGAACAAATTTTTTGATAATTGTATAGCTATGGGATTATATTATTCAATCAGTATGGGGATTTAGGAATTAGAATAGTTAGAGCAGAAAAGTCAGTTGGTAATTTAAAGCATTGAAAAAGTTTTAAAAAGAAATTCTTTTAAAAAATAAACATAAGGTGTGAATGTTAAAAATTATAGACATTAAAAATATTCAATAGTAATTTCTTTTTAAAAAAGAAAATGGAGATACTTTGAAAGAGATACTCGTTTATGAAATAAATTTAAGAAGTTGGGAAGCATTAAAATATTTTAATATTTAAAATGTATTATTTTTTTAAAACAGTGATACTTGAAAATTATAGACATTTATATAACCTATACAGATGTATCGCGCAAAATGATGATATTTTATCGATTTTTTTTGACACCATAGAAAATATTTATTAAAAAAGTTTTACCAACGTTGTTTAGTACATGGTTTTGGGTACTTATTTAAATTTTTTCATTAAAAAATATTAATTAATAAAAATGTTATAGCCGAATTCCAAGATCGTCTTTTTTCAATGGTGTCTTGCGGTGGACATCATATCCCGAAAACGGTTCATCCAAAATCAAAAATTTAGTTAGTATATTGTATTGTCTAGTCCGTGAACAAGGGATTTTTAAAAATTTTGATTAAAAAAAAATGGCGACGGTTTTAACAAAAAATGTACTTTTTCAAGGTATAAGATTTTCGATTTTTATGCTTTAAAAAAGGAGTTTTCAAAAAAATTGAAAATTGAAACAAAAAATGTACTTTTTCAAGGTATAAGATTTTCGATTTTTATGCTTTAAAAAAGGAGTTTTCAAAAAAATTTAAAATCCCTCGTTCACGGACTAGCTAATATCATAACAAATAAGTGGTCAAATTTTGATTTTGATCGGATTAGTAGTTTTTTAGTAATCATGTCCACCGCAAAGGTAATTTCGAAAAAACAAAATTCTGAGATAATGGCGTTTAAAGGTTCCAGTTTGTTCGAGTTTTACGTGCAGTTAGTGCGCTATAAATTGCTACAACTTCGGTTTTAATGCTCCGGTCGTTATGAATTTTTGTAAGAAAATTCTCAACAGTATATACTTAAAGAATATGCAATAAAAAATCGATTTTTTCATCTATCACAACTGTATATAACCCCTTAAAAGTAGTTGTATTTCATAACAGAAAAAAAATTTGAGAATTATAAGCATTCTAAAGGTCTTGAAAGAGGTACTCTTTAATAAGATATGTAATTACTACCATTTTATTAGGCAAGTAGGAAAGTAGAAAAGTATTTCCATTATTAATTTTATTAGATAATTTTTCATTAGAGTTAAGAATTATAAAAATTATTCTTATAAGAATTTAAGCAAATATCTCAACAAACTTTAAACTTTTACGTTTCGATTCTGAAGTTTAAAATTAAAGTATAACTCCTTATAGAAACATTTTAATTTTAATTTGAAAATAATAAAAATCTAGTATTTAAATTTATTTTCTTGTATTTTTAATTTTTTAAAATTCTTTTAGAACATCAGAAATGCCACAGCCAAAGCCATACCAGAGGCCCGCGGACTTCATTGATCCTGGCAAGCCATCGCGTTGCAAATGGCATCTGGGAACTACGGAGAAGTCGCCTCACACCCAGAGGAGTATTGCTCACCGCCAGAAGATCACCCCGAATATCCTGGAGGTGATTGGAATGACGCCACTGGTCCGTTTAAATCACATCCCCGCCAGCGAGGGAATCGAATGTGAAATGTGTAATAAAAAATATAAAAATAAAAAAAATAAAAAATATTTAACAAAAAACTATCTTCACAGATGCCAAGTGTGAGTTCTTGAATCCCGGCGGATCGGTCAAGGATCGCATTGGCTATCGAATGGTGCAGGATGCCGAGGAGCAGGGTCTGCTCAAGCCAGGATTCACCATCATCGAGCCAACTTCCGGGAACACGGGCATCGGTCTGGCCATGGCCTGTGCCGTCAAGGGATACAAGTGCATAATTGTGATGCCGGAGAAGATGTCCAACGAGAAGGTATCGGCTTTGAGAACCCTGGGCGCCAAGATTATTCGTACACCCACGGAGGCGGCCTACGATTCGCCGGAGGGCCTAATCTACGTGGCCCAGCAACTGCAACGGGAGACACCCAACTCGATTGTCTTGGATCAGTACCGGAATGCGGGCAATCCCTTGGCCCATTACGATGGAACTGCTGCCGAGATCCTATTGCAATTGGATAACCAGGTGGATATGGTTGTTGTATCGGCGGGAACGGCAGGCACCATCTCCGGTATCGGCAGGAAGATCAAGGAGCAGGCTCCCAACTGTCAGATTGTCGGCGTTGATCCCTTTGGTTCCGTTCTGGCCCGTCCCGAGGAGCTCAACAAGAGCGATGTACAATTCTACGAGGTGGAGGGCATCGGCTACGACTTTCCACCAACTGTCTTCGATGACAAAGTCGTGGATGTTTGGTCCAAGATCGGTGATTCCAACTGTTTCCCGATGAGTCGCCGGTTGAACGCCGAGGAGGGTCTGCTCTGCGGTGGATCCAGTGGTGGCGCCATGCACGCCGCCCTCGAGCATGCCCGGAAACTGAAGAAGGGTCAACGGTGTGTGGTGATCCTGCCGGATGGCATTCGCAATTACATGACCAAGTTCGTGTCCGACAACTGGATGGAGGCGCGTGGCTTCAAGGAGCCGGTGAACGAACACGGCCACTGGTGGTGGAGCCTGCCCATCGCCCAACTGGAGCTGCCTGCCCCCGAGGCGGTGCTGAAGTCTGGAGCCACAGTGGGCGAGGCCATTGGCCTGATGAAGGTACTTCGTGTGGATCAGCTCGCACTGGTGGACGAAGAAGATGGGTGAGTTTCGGAATAAATGCCATATCATTTGTTACCTTCTAATGGGGTCATCTCTGTTCTAGTTCCGTTTTGGGAGTGGTCGGCCAGGAGACACTCATCACCCAGATCGTGACCATGAACCGAAAGCAGAGCGATCCCGCCATCAAGGCCCTCAACAAGCGAGTGATCCGTCTGCCGGAAACCGAAATTCTGGGCAAGCTGGCTCGCGTCCTGGAGGTGGATCCCAGTGTCCTCATTATTGGCAAGACGGCGTCGGGCAAGGAGGAACTCAAGGCTCTGGCCACCAAGCTGGACGTGACCAGTTTCATAGCCAATGGCAATCCCAGTGAAAAGGCCAATGGCACCACCAATGGCAACACTCACTAGATGACTGGAAATTCCAGGATATATCCAGGATATAGCACTCTCCTCCTCGTCTGATTTTTGTCCAACCTACCGACTTAACTTTTACGTATACAACATGCATGCATTTTATGAATGTCTAATAAAAAATAATACTTATATACATAAATGTTCGATTTTATATATTCTTGATCAGGATCAAACTCCTGAGTTGATATGAGCATGTCCGTCTGTCTGTCCGTTACCTGAGGAATCTTGTCCTTTCAATAATGAAATTTTATTTTATCAGTTCAGATGATTCTGAGTCTAGTTATAGGGTACACCGCAGAACTCTATTCTTCGAGACGCCGCCGGATATTGCCTGTATCTCACTTAATTTTAAATATTTTTGGATGAAATTTAAATTCTTAAAAAATTACCCATTTTACACCTCAAGTCACTTCCCACAACTAAACCAGAGTCGATTGTTTATTTTTCAAAGACGGAGCCTTGGGGCCGATCCTGAAATGTCTGAAATCCAAAATTTTGGTTTCCAACCTTCTCAAACGCTTTTCAGTTAAATTGGAAATTTTATTAAAAATTCAAGAAATATAAGAGGACAGTTTATCTTATTAAAATAATTACATTTTAATGCATATTTACAATCTTTATTTTCTAAGAATGTTTCATTTTCCAAGTCCGTTTTAAAATTCTGTTCGCTTTTTTCAATCTGTTCTTCGGATGAACATATAAATGGGATGAAAAGGTGCAGAGCTGAAAAAAAAACTAATTTAAAAATTATTTCAATTTAGTTATTTTAGAAATTTCCAGTTAGAGATGAAACTAAAAGAAAACCTAATTAGAATACACACCTCATACCAGGATCGAACCACCAGCCATAGCCATATTCCTTTGCCAAATTACGATCAGAAACTCCATCCTCATCTCGATCGAAGGTGGAAAATTTTGAATCTTGCAGAGGGCTCATCCATAACCCGTCTCCAAAACATCTACCATTACTTTTCACCCTGTACCCTTCGCTTCGATCGCCCACAACAAAGTTGGTGCATCTGCTACTGCCTGAAACGGTCCCTAAAAGCACTTCATGACTTCCACTGGTCAGATGGTGCAATCGATTGAGTCCAATAAAGAACTCATTTGCCAACTCAGTTCCTATATCACCAAATCCACGTTCATAATCCTCATACGTGCGATTAAATGTTTGTGAAGTATAAATTTTTTTATAAACATATAACCATCCAGATCCAATATCCGAATCTGAATAACAAACCGCTTTAAACGGGTCTGAGCCTGGTAGTTGGATTTCGCGGTGGACGAATTGAAGTTCTTGGCCTCCTGGGCAAGGATTTGGAATATCTGAAAAATTCGTTGTTTTATTTTGCAAATGATTGTGTTCTGCCGACTTACCTATGGTTTCTATTTTCGGAGTCGTCTCAATCTTAATATTAGGCAATGGAGTTGTTGCGACCTCCCCAGTTTCGACTTCCGATTTTGTTGGATTATTTTCATGAATTCCTCCGTTCTTTACTATTTTTCCCAACTTGGCAATGTCTTCTCGGAACTGATTAGTCAACGTTGCAAGTTCACTTTTTTCTTTTAGTTCCCTAATTTGATCTTTTAGGAGGTCGATTTCCGTATTTTTCTGATTTATTAGATTGTCAACTTCCTGCTGCTTCGAATGCAACTGCGCATTTTTAACTTTCTCATCACTTAGTTGACTGAGCACTGCCGTATATTTATTTTGCACTTCTAAATTCGATTTCATTAATTCCGAATTATCCTTTTGGCATTTGGATATCTGGGCATACTGTTTGAGACCCTCGTTCTGCAAATCCGAGTATCGTTTCTGAAGTTCCGAATAGTCTGTCTTGCACCTTAGGAACTGGGCATCCTTTTCATTAGTTTTCTCAAAATAGCGAAGTAAGGGCTTCACGATCGGATAACAAACCGATGCACATTGATCTTCCTGCTCTTCGGAGAGGTAGCATGACTGTGGAATTAAAAATTAAATTACTTTTCAAAATAAAAACACTCAAAAAAGGTATAACATACTTCTTCCGATCCCAAGGAGGCGGAAATTAGGGTAATGACAGAAATGAGGGCCACGGGGAAGATCATCTTGTATTTTTTTAATTGAGCAGAACTTTCTACTGAAAGAGTCTCTGTGAATATTTCAACTGATGCTGCGAGTCTTCAAGCTCCGGCTTTTTAAAGCCGTCCTCGGACATGAGCTTGAGCTTTAGTTTCTGATAGGAAATTGGGAAATAGCCACACATATAGAAAAGCCAAAATATTCCACAGACAGAATGCTTACGAAAGGGATGTCAAAGGTTATTGGAGATTAGAGAGAGGTGATTAGCAACAAGACCTGGTTTATGTTCCTAGCTTTTTCTTTTTGGTATATATTAAGGCTATATATATACATAATATATATGGGCATTTTCTGGGGTCGCGAAGGTACGTTCGTACGCAATTAGTGCCAAAAAATTAAAGAAAAAAACATTTTCTGATTTCTTTTTTTTTTGTTTCCGATAGCATTTGTTGAGTTCTTTTCTAAGTCTAAATTATCATTCTAATGGATTTTTCATTTTCATAATATTGGCAAAAAACATGAGGTCGCGAACGTACGCGAAATGGAAGTCGGTTTTGGCTTGCTCTAGCAAAATCAAAAAATCTGCGAATTGGAATGGAATATTTTAATGCAATAACTTTACTGTTAAAATAGAGGCATGTAGCTTTCTATCGAGTCTATTCCCAATTAAATATCTCCATTAGTTTTATACCCTTGCAGAGGGTATTATAATTTTGTCCAAAAGTGTGCAACGCAGTGAAGGACACATCTCCGACCCTATAAAGTATATATATTCTTGATCAGGATCACCTCCTGAGTTGATATGAGCATGTCCGTCTGTCCGTCTGTTTCTACGCGAACTAGTCTCTCAGTTTTAAAGCTATCGACTTGAAACTTTGCACACACCCTTCTTTCCTTTGCACGCAGTATATAAGTCGGATCGGCCAACTATATCCTATAGCTGTCATATAACTGATTGATCTGAAATGGTATAACTTTGTTGTTTTTAGAGTTAGAGAGTTCAAATTTTGTTCCGTTCAGCTCAACGAGAGCTATTTTTGGCAAAATAATACGACATGCCAAATTTCATAAGGATCGGCCGACTATATCCTATAGCTGCCATATAACTGAACGATCGGAAATGACCTAACTTTCGTGTTTTTGAAGATAGAAAGCTGAAACTTAGTACAGATTCTATTTTTGGTTAGTTGATCCAACCTGACGATTGGTAGAAGTTTGGGACTTTTTTTAGATTTTATATTATAATAAATTGGTTTATAGTATCATATTCTCATAAGGATCGTCAAACTATGTCCGATTTTTGCGATATATATCCGCCCAAAGTTAGCTTTCCTTTCTTGTTTTTTTTTTCATTTTTTTTTAAATTTCAATAGTTTACACTAAAATGACTTAACACATGAAGTTGCATCCACCTGCTTTCACTTGATGCGAAGCAATTACAGTAAAATTATGTTTTGGGTCGCGAACATCGTCTTATTAGATTGTTATTAAGAGATTTAGTAAAAGTTTTAGTTTTTTTAAAAAGCTGAGATATGCTATGAACCCAATTGATTATGAAATTTTGGATATTTATTTATGAAAATACCAAAAAAGAATCGAGGAATATGGACATTTATTTTTTCGGTCCCGGTTGACCATCCGCCGGAATAGCCGATATTCATGCATATGCAATAATAAACCCAATGCCATACATAGTAGGAATTGTTTATAAGGTCGAATATGCTACTTCATGTGCTTAGTATTGGACAGGTTGACTCAAAATTACTTCTTGAAGCATTAATGTTTTCTGTTCCTAATAAAGTAACTAGATCCTTCCGACCACTTTGTTTAATTTCTAGGTCTAATTTTTTCGATCCATTTATTATCCCCTTAGCTATCCTTAGATGTAATTATTTTCTAAATTATGGACTCTCTTTTAGATTAATTTATCCTTACTTTTAATAATGACTAAATAAATAAATATAGCATAAAACCGTGTTTAAAATATTTGTAACACCCTCAAAATCTTGTTTTTTTTCTTAATAAATCAAGACGTAATAGAGCAGAGCTTGCAAATAGCTGCTAACCGATTTTTAATTTTGTTTTATATTGGATTTGATTTGAAATATCTACGTTTTCGGTTGGGCTTTATCAGATGAGTTATATTTTCAAGGATCTGGCAAAAAGCATTCACAGAGACCGAATCAAATGAGTGCTCAAACACTGAGAGTTTAGCAAAGATCATACAAATAAAAGGGACTGTACATTTCAGAGATTTTCATTATAAAAATCAAATATAGTAATTATTATTGATTTTCTTTTGAAAAATTAAATTTTAAATATTATTCTTGATTCGAATCCAACTAAAAGAACTGTATTTGTTTTGGAAATATTCGATATTCATTATCATCATATTGATCAAAAATATAAAAGGAATGTTGATTCCTTTTATGAAGTTTTCCCGAAAATCCACCATTTCCAATTTATGGAAGAAACCAACTCTTTCATTAACTGTTCAGCTTGACGCATAACAGGATAACACAACATCTTGATCAGGATCACCTCCTAGTCTCTCAGTTTTAAAGCTATCGTCTTGAACCTTCCTTTGCACGCAGTATATATGTAAGTCAGAACATCAAGGACTTGCCGACTGTATCCTATTGCTGCCATATAACTGACTTATCGAAAATGCCATAAGTTTGGTGTTATTAGACAAAGAGAGTTGCGATTTTCTATGTATTCTATTTGTGGCAGAATAATATGACACACCAACTTTCATAAGGAACCTATTTAAAGTACTTCGCTTGAGAATCGGCTGAGAATTGGGAAAGATATAGCCATCATTGTAGACCCTATAGGGGAAAACTCCATTTTCAAGGGATCCCATCACGAAAAATGGACAAAACATCTTAAAAATATTTTGTCTCATGATTTTGATTCAGAATGGTACAGAATTGACCCAGAAATCGTTTGAGGTACTCTGCATGAACATCGGCTGAGAATTGTAGAAGATATAGCCAACGCTGTATACCCTACAGGGGAAAACCCCATTTTCAAGGGACACGCGTATCCTAACTATGTACTGAACACAAATATCTTGAAATTTTGGGCGATCGGGGTTTTTGACTTTCAAGTGCCTTAAAAACTCGACAGCGTTACCTGAGGAATCTTGTCCTTTAACTAATGCAATTTCATTTTTTTAGTTCAGATGAATCTGTGACAAGTTATCGGGTACCCCGCAGAACTCTTTTTTCGAGGCGCCGCCGAAGAAATTTCCAATATCTCACTTAATTTTAAATATTTTTGAATGAAATATAAATTCTTAAAAAAATGTCTATTTTGCTCCAATTCAACTATACCCCCCTCAAGTCACTTCCCACAACTAAACCAGAGTCGATTGTTTATTATTCAAAGACGGAGCCTTGGAGCCGATCCTGAAATGTCTGAAATTCAAAATTTTGGTTTCCGACCTTCTCAAACGTTTTTCAGTTAAATTGGAAATTTTATTAAAAATTCAAGAAATATAAGAGGACAGTTTATCTTATTAAAATAATTACATTTTAATGCATATTTATAATATTTATATTTTCTAAAAATGTTTCATTTTCCAAAACCGTTTTAAAATTCTGTTCTCTTTTTTCAATCTGTTCTTCGTATGTACATATAAATGTTAAACTCTTTGGGCCTATAACGTGCAGAACTGAAAAAATATAATTTAAAAATTATTTCAATTTAGTTATTTTAGAAATTTCCAGTTGGAGATGAAACTAAAAGAAAACCAAATTAGAAAACACACCTCAAACTAGGATTGAACCACCAGCCATAGCCCACTTCCTTCGCCAAATTACGATCAGGATCTCCATCCTCGTCTCGATCGAAGGTCGAAAATTTGGAGCCCTGCATAGGACTCATCGCGCCGTATCCATCACAATTGCCAATACTTTTCACCTTGTACCCGTCGCTTCTATCGCCCACAATAAAATGGTCGCATCTTCTTGTCCCCAAAGTGGCGTATAAAAGTACTTCATTACGCTTTCCACTAGTCAGACGGTGCAATAGATTGAGCCCAATAAAGAAATCATCGTCAATATCAGTTCCGACATGGCCGAATCCACTTTCATAATCTTCATACGTGCGATTAAATGTTTGTGAATAAAACGATTTCCTATAAACATGCAACCATCCAGATCCATTATCCGAATCTGAATAACAAACCGCTTTAAACGGGTCTGAGCCTGGTAGTTTGACTTCGCGGTGGACGAATTCAAGTTCTTGGCCTCCTGCACAAGGATCTGGAAAATCTAAAAAACTCGTTTTTTTATTTTGCAAATAACTGGGTTCTGTCGACTTACCTATGGTTTGAGTTTTCGGCGTCGTCTCAATCTTAATATTGGGCAGTGGAGTTGTTGGGACCTCCCCAGTTTCTATTTCCGACTTTGTTGGATTATTTTCATGAATTCCTCCAATCTTTACTATTTTTTCCAACTTATCGATGTTTTCGCGGAACTGATTAGTCAACGTTGCAAGTTCACTTTTTTCTTTTAGTTCCCTAATTTGATCTTTTAGGAACTCGATTTCCATATTTTTCTGATTTATTAGATTGTCAACTTCCTGCTGCTTTGAATGCAACTGCACATATTTAACTTCACTGTCTTTAAGTTGACTCACCACATCCGAATACCTTCTCACCAATTCCGAATTATCCTTTTGGCATTTGGATATCTGGGCATATTGTTTTAGATCCTCGCTCTGCAAATCCGAGTATCGTTTCTGAAGTTCCGAATAGTCTGTCTTGCACCTTAGGAGATGGGCATCCTTTTCATTAGTTTTCTCAAAATAGCGAAGTAAGGGCTTCACGATCGGATAACAAACCGATGCACATTGATCTTCCTGCTCTTCGGAGAGGTAGCATGACTGTGGAATAAAAAATTAAATTACTTTTTAAAATAAAACACTCAAAAAAGGTATAACTTACTTCTTCCGATCCCAAGGAGGCGGAAATTAGGAAAATGGCAGAAATGAGGGCCACGGGGAAGATCATCTTGTATTTTTTTAATTCAACTTAACTTTCTACTGAAAGAGTCTCTGGGAATATTTGAACTGATGCTGCGAGTCTTGGAGCTCCGGCTTTTTATAGCCATCCTCGCCCATGAGCTTGAGCTTTAGTTTCTGATAAGAAATTGGGAAATACCCACACATTTAGAAAAGCCAAAATATTCCACAGACAGAACACGTACGGAAGGGATGTCAAGGGTTATAGGAGATTAGAGAGAGGTGAGGAGGTCTTGTTGCTAGACCTGGTTTATGGTCTTAGCTTCCTTTTCTTAATATATATTTAATTAGTTTTCGTTTCTTGTTTTGGAAGAATTAATTTTTTTTTTAAATTAGATCACTAAGTTATACGATTTAGAAAAATATAGATTTTCCACAATTTTTTTTTATGAATTTCGCAATTAGAATTAAGCTACATAATAGAAGCACATATCTTTGTGAGTAAAATTCTGAAAAAATTGGTTTTGAAAATAAAAATTCAGAAAACGAAATGCTTTCAGTATTTAAGGACCTAATCCTAAGTAAAATTAAAAAAAAAATGGATAAATTAATTACCTAATGATAATTTTGAGAGCTAAATAAATTCATAAAAAAAAGACGAATGTTAGAAAGTGTAATTAATCATCATTTTTCTTATAAACCATCTCACATTTTTTCAAGAGCAAGACATCTTAAAAATAAATTTATGCCACAACTTAGAACCCAGTCCCCAAAAATGAGAAAAAATCAACTTTAATTTGATCACTTTTTTCATGTACATATATATTTCGTTCGATTTGCTTTGTATTCGCTAGACGGCGACCTTGCCAATCATGTACAGTGGAGACAATTATTAAAAATATTGTTTAAAAAAAAAAATTCATCGAATTTCTGTTAAAACTAAATGCATGGCAGGGAAAATTAATTGTTTTTTAATACTCAGTGAGTTGGAGATTTTTTTTAGTTGAGATTTCCTTAGAAAGAGGCAGCAGATACATAGAGAGATAGAGTGAGAGAGACAGGGCTAATGTACAAACATAGAATAGAAAGAGATGGATAGCTTGGAATGCTTGCCGTTTGTAATTATTTTTTTGTTTGATTCGAGTTTTGTTTTTTTTATTTTTTTTTTTTTTAGACGCCACGGTTGGGCAAGTCCTTGACTTTGTAAATGCGCACCAGCCAGTGTTCTGTGGTGTATGCCTCCTCCAGGACATCCAGCTCAAAGTCCTTGTTGCCAATCTCGGCGGCCCTGACACGATCATATCCCTGCGCCTTGCCACCTTCCGTGTACATCTGCCCGAAACGATAGTAGCACATCTTGTACATTAAACAGTTAAGTAGTGTGGGTGATCCCTCCTTGTCCACCCGGAATTCACCATTGGCGGCATAATAGTCCTTTTCACGGATGTTGGCTCCACGATCCGTACTGCCGCCGATCCGCACCATCCACAGGAACTTGTTAATATCATCGGATGAGTAGCCGGTGAGGCCACCGAATATGACGAGGACATAGTCCACATCCAGTTCACGCATTATCTCGTAGGCCTTCTCCTCCGACGAGGCCATGGCCTGGCCGACTCGAGAAATGTGCGTGTTATTCCAAGTGTTGTTGTCCACCAGAATGGTGCGATTCGCCATGGCGGTTATCTGATAGCCATAATCCCACCAGGACATGATGCGAGCGTCCTGTAAGAAGATCAGAGATATGGTTAGTTGAAGAAAGAACAAGAAAGATCCTATCTTTTATAGGTTTTGATTTGTCAGAATGTTTTGTTTAGTACTCATTATGTTTCATACTCTTCCTATCAAGAATTTACAAAGTAGTCATCAGAATAATGGAAAAAGGATTGGAAATCCATGGAGTATCTATTCTCTAAAAACCCACCTCTGGCGTATTCATCTGTAGCCAATAGTACGCCTCACGGAAATCATCAAAGATAATGCGTCCCCCGTCATGGGATCGGGCACTGAGCACAATACTGGGCGAGGAGTAAGCCTCCGAGGTCACCCAGGTGCAGTGGAGCGTATAAACGATCAGCATAAAAGTGATGATGCCCACAAATCCAATCGCCACTTCGCTCTTAACGCCACCCGTCTGCTGTTCCAACTTCTTGAACTGCCTTTTGCTTTCCACGCCCTGCTTGGCGGCACTGCCCGCATCCACGCTCTTGATATACTTGGCCAGCAGATGCGAAATGGCAATGCCGGATAGGACACACATCACCGGGGCCAGGACCAGCATAAGACGGACCATGACACCGGCAAAGTAAATACTGGTAACTCCGTACAAAATAATAAAGATATTCGAGTCGGTGAGCTTTGAGAAGCAAAAGTACAGGCCGGCGGGGAACAGAAATACCAAGATCTAAACAAATATAAGATATAATAAAGATTAATTAAAATATAGATAATTAGGGTTAAGGTTGAGGTAATTTTCTAACCCAGAGCCGCCTCAGCGATCAAAGTGCAAGGTAATCATTGAATGCATTAAGTCGCAAGTCATTCGCATCGTTATAAGGCTCTCATCTCAGGCAGATTTGGGTAGAAAATAGAAAAGCCAACAGAAACCCTCCAAAGAAAAACCCACCTGTAGATCAAAGTAGAAGGAGGACCAGGACGTGGGCTGATGCTCGGATACTGAGGCAATAATTGGAATATGATTCTTGGCATAGGACGGATCCAACAATGAATAAAATCGCCCAGTCCAGGGCGATACTTTTCCAGTTATGGTCGCCACAGTGCCCACAACCAAGACCACAGTCAGGATACTCGAGACCAGGGTCTTGAAGAGCAACTCAAAGTGCTCTTTGGGAATACGAGATCGCAGATAGTCGACAAAGGCATGAATCTGGCAAAGACCGAAAACGCCAAGGGCCTGAAAACAATAAAAATGGGATTTATTAATAAAAGTTCTCATATTTTTAATAAAAACTATAATTTAATTATAAAATCAGCTTGTTTTGGTAGTACTCATTATGTTTCATACTCTTCCTATCAAGAATTTTAAAAATATTCATCACAAAGATCGTCCAGAAATAACTAGAAAATGACGAAACAATCCTTACCAGCATATGTTCCGAGCTCTGTATCGGTTGGAAGCCCACAAACGATATCTGCATGGACAGTATGGTGCCCACACAATACAAGGTACTGTAGGCAATGTAGATTCTGTGCGAGAATCGTCCAGTGATCATAAGCGCCAGGACATGCAGCGGTATTAGATTGATCAGGAACACATAACCACCCCACGAGGAGACCATGTAGAAGTAGGCCAGTGCCGACATGGCCGACCAGAAGATGGTGCCCGTCTTCACGGCCTTGATCCACAAGTAGTAGGTGAAGAGCATGCAGAAGATGGCGATGCCTTCATTGTCGTACGAACCAGCCACAGACCTGGAGATATAGCCCGGCACAATGGAGATTAAGGCGGCGGCCACCAGTCCAGCGCCAGTGCTCTGAATCCAGAAGAGAAACGGTAAAGCACCCACGTGGTGGAAATTATAACCTCGTTTTACTCACGTGAATCTCCTTGGTGAGGGCATAGGTGACCAGTGTCGTCAGCGAGGAGAAGAACGGTGCCAGAAAGACACACACATTCCGAATATCAATGGTGATGTTCAGTAGCCACATAAGGCGGTATAACGCCGCCGACGTAACCATCAGTCCGGGATAGATGGTGCCGCCGATGATGCGGCCCAGCGGATACCAGGCGCGGTCATCGAACCAATTGTGGAATTTGTAGAAGCCCTGCTCCGCAAGGAAGCGGGTGGTGCGGTAGTTGAAGTACGGATCGAACTCATGGATCACACTCTCAAATCGCAGCACAGAGAAGAGTCGCGTGGCGAACGCTGCAAGGGTCAAATCAAAAAAGAGGAAGTTGAAATTTACGGCGGCAAGAAGCAGAACCTTATCAGTGGTGGCACAAGCGCGGGTAGGGTTATACTATCGTTAGCTACATTTATCGATAGTTTTCAATAATAAAATTAATTTATTATTTATTATTGTCATAATAATAATGTACATTTTATAAAATTTATACAATATTTGTTGACAAATAATCGAATTAATTTATGTTTCTGTTGATTTAACTGACATCACAGGCTGGCGATACCGGTTCATAGCGATAAGCGGCTCACGACTCACGAACGGGATGCCAATGTTTGGTTTTTTTTTTTTTTTTTTTGGAAACACGCCCACTGTTGTAGGTTTTGGCCATTTAAGGGCATTTTACTCACACAAAACCGCTGCCAAAATGAGAATAGCTAGCTTAACCAGGTGCTCCTGCTTCTCCCAAGTGAGCAGACCCCTGACGCCGCCGCCCACGTCCACGGTCATTTCCCCTCTCTACCCTGCTCGCTACGGCTCCTGCCGGCGTTTTTCTTTGTTGATTTTGTAGAATTCTAATTTACAGATTGTGGTCTTATAAAATTCACTGAACGCGTAGGGGTTTCTTCTTCGTCAATCTCTAAGATTTGTCGTTACTTTTAATTTAGTTTGTACAAAAAAGCTTAAAATGCGCGACGAAACTTGCAATTCGTGGCAAAAAAAAAGTATCGCTATGTGTTATCGTAATCGCACTGTTTTCGAGCAGGTGGCAACGCCGTGAGAGAGGCGCTCTTATTATTAACAGACTTATTGCTTGTTATTTGAATCTAATGGACTGTTTGAAATTTATAAATACATTCTAAAATTCATTTTGAGAATAGTCTGATTTTTTATTTATTAATTTAATTGAAATGTTAAATTTCTGTTCGACCGGCTGTTCAAGTCTTATTGGTACTGCTTAAACAGCTGTTTTGAGGAAGAGCTCCAGCGATGGTGGTATTTTTTTGACGGTCAGCCTGCAGTCACACTGTTTTCCAGCCGCGCTGCTTGTGTTTTGTCGTTTCCCGTTACTAGAAGTTTAACAACAAAAAACTATGACAAAAAAACACGGGCATTCAGTAAACCGCCGGGAAAAATAATCGCGAGATGATTGATTAATATCTGGATATATTGGCCAACACTCGTCGAACCGGAAAACGAAAAAAAACCGTGATATCTGCTGGTAAATAGTTGCTAACGTTACAAAAAATAAAAGAACTAATGAATAACACCTTAAAATCACGTTTATAACAAAAATAAGATTCTCTGATTGGTTCACATATTTCGCTTTATTGTTTTTGCCATTTAATAGTAATAAAAAAAATTCGTTAACTTTTCGAGTGGGAGCAGCTCGTTATATACAAAACCAAAGAAAAAAAAAAAAAAGTCCAAAAGAGAAGTAACTTGCGGCTTGTTGTTTTTGTGCGCGGGTTGTTTTTGCCTTTTTTTTGTTTTTGTGTGTTATTACTTTTTTTTTTTGGGTATTTGTGCGCCAAAAGTAATTAAATAATAATCATTTATTTTTGGATTTATTGTGAGTCTTAAAGTGCAGCAAGAATGGTGAAAAATCGAACATCAACACGAGAGTTACGCTCTCAAAAATGCATGTGTGTATGTGTGTGTGTGCGTGCGGGTGGTGGCAGAGACGTTGACTGCGGTAGCAGCAGCAGCAGCAGCTAGAAGCAGCGATTGCAGTTGCCAGCACGCATCCAAGAAGAAGAAGCAGAATAAGGAGTGGGAGCAATAAAAGCAACAAACTCCAACTTCTGCAGCTGCTTCTCCTCCTTCACTATACCCCCCACTATATATATATATATATATATACTGTGTGTATATGTGGGTGTTTGCATTTGCATGGCATTTCTGGCATGCAACGTACTTACGTATGTTTGTTTGTATGTATGTATGTATGGTATTTGCATTTATGGCAATTTGTGTGCCTAGATGGGTGTACGAGAGAGAGAGAGAGAGGTCACAAAGTGGGAGGTATAAATTACAACAACAAAAAAAACTTCAAAAATCTAAATCTGATTACCGGCTTTGTTGGAAAATTTATGAAAAAATAATCTAGTATATTTACTTTTCCCCTATTATTTACACTTTTCAAATTACAGTTCTCATAAATACTTCCAGAATCTTAAATGATATTCCCAAGATAATAGTTACACAGCAAAAAAAAAATGTTGACCTTCAAAGTTCCCTTAAAAACAAACCTTTGAAATTTATCTTGAAAAAAAAAGTTCCCAAAAAGCTTTAAAGATAAGATAATTAAATGATAAATTATACTAATATTGCCCACTTGTGCTTATTATATAATTTTTGGTTAAAAATTTTCTCATTTTTTAAGGTCTCTATGACGTAGATGAAAATTATTACTCTAGACCATCAATTTTGGTAATCCATCAATATTTTTTTTTTTATTTTTTTGGCCATTTCCTAACCCATTTACATGACCAACAACCAAGTGATTAAGTGTTTTTTTTTTTGCTGCTTTCGCTCCAAAAAAAAAAACATTTTTTTAAAATATTTTTTTCTTTTGTTTTTCTTGTAAAAAAAATGTTAAAAAAATATCTGGCATATAGGGCAAGACAATGTTGCTTGTCTTGCGGGTTATTGTTATTATTATTATTATTATTTTTTTGTTTACTCGTGGGAAACGGAAATTGGCAAGACAGAGGGAAAGAGAAAGAAAAAAAAATGATAATAAAATTGCCGCCGTTTCACTTTCGGTCTCCCATTCTCCACTCTCCACTTGCTATATCAAAAAATTTTGTTAACAAATTCAATTTTTTTTGTTGCTTTCAAGACCCCCCCCGCCCCTTTATTTCTTGACTCAATTAATTTCAAGCAATTAAAGCATTACAACGCTTACAACCTTTAATATCTGGGGGATGAGACCTACAAACTGGTATCCATATATTGGTAGGGTCTTTTTGTTTTTAATTGGTTTCTGGCATACAGGTTACGTTTCGAATTGGATTACAATACCCGGAGACTATAATTTATCTGTGGGCTCCATACTAGGGGTATTATCGGTCTTAGGGTTAGTAAGTTTTGGGAGGAAATATATAAGAAATTCTACAACTTTTATCATATTTAGGTATTTTTCTTATTTTATAGATAAGTCTAGAGGAAGAAAGATATATATAGATATAGGAAGTCTAGAGAAGACTAGAATATGTATAGACTTTAAATTAGGGGGTTTAATAGCATGTATATATCCTAAAAATTGTAAGATATCTCTAAGACTCTGTACCATAAAAAAAAAAATAGAAGAACTCACGGACATACGGACACGCGGACAAGCTTATTTTAGTTTTATAAAAAATATTAAATAGTTTCTTTAATATTACCTTACCTTTAAATTTATAGATCTCATAAAGAGTCTAGACTGTAGAGAATCTTAAATATATATAGACATGAAATAAGGGTGTTTATTAGACTATGTTTTAGGGTGTTTATTATTAGGTGTCTTAGGCATCTCTAAGAACCATTACCTTTAAATAAATAGAACTCACGGACAAGATTATTTTAATTTTATTAAAAATATTAAATAGTTTCTTTAATTTCAGTTTCATAAATATTACAATAAATCTCTTTAAACCTAGAAACCTAGAGATTAATATAGTTTTAAAGATCTAATTAATTTAGTTAAAAAAAAGACCCAAAAGAACTAAAGGACAGTCGGACACGCGGACAATCTTATTTTAGCTTAATAAAAAAGTCATATATTTAATATTTTTCTCTAGGTTCTTATTAAGGCTAAAAAAAACCTTTGTTTCTTTCTAAAGACTCTAACATAGAGGCTAGACCTCCATTTAGGTAAAAAAAAGACCTATTTAGGTAAAAAGACCCAAAAGAACTAGCACGGACAAAGCTTTTAGGATAATCTCCCTCCTTATAAGAAAACCCTTATAACCCACATTACTATTAGAGAAAATTAAAGTGTAAACAAATCATTTGTAATGCCATAGCTCCATAGCTATTAGCCATACATATATGTGCAATATATATCATTAGATGACCCCCCCACCTCGACGATTTTAACGATGATTGCCGCTAAGCAAACACCAATTGTTGGGCCAAGAAATCGATGATTTCGATACGAAACTACCAGAGAAAAAACAATAATATATACTAGGTATATATATGGACTTTGAAAAAAAAGGGAGAAAGAGTTGAAAGAGAAACCCTGGACATTAAACCCCCTTTCTCCAGTGCTTGACCAATATTGTCATTGGCCATTCAACTAAAAAAATTAACACTAAAAAAAATAGTAATTAAATAAATTAAATTTTTTTTTTTTCAAATTTATGATAGCCATATATTGAAACTTTAGTCTTTTCTTTTAAATAAAAATATACAAAAATATGTATGTTCTTAACTTTTATAAACTATTTTTTTCCAGTGTAGTTCCTTTAATTTCTTTCTTTCTCTAACTTTTTTTTTTATAGTTTGCAATTATCAGGGACCTCTCTCTCAGTCTCAGCCACAACTTATTGGATTTTTTGCATTAAAAGTTTCAAACTCTGTTTTCTTATTTTCATCTTTGGACTTTTTTTTCACTGCAAGTTTTCCCCATCTGGTTCTTCTAATTTTTTTTTGCAAAGTGTTTTTTTATGTGCGTTTTTGTTTTTTTATGAGAAAAACGTTTAAAAAACAAGTGTACTAAGTGCTGTGCGTGGTCGTTGGGAATTGTTGTGTGTTTCTCGGCATTTATGTTCGTTTTTGGTCTTTGGGTGCGGAGTTGTACTCTTACTTTTTGGAATGAAAAGGGAGATTAATTGGAAATGGTTTGAAAAATTAATAAAAAATTAGTTTTTATTTTTAAGATAAGACATTTAGTGAAGAGAAATGTGTATGAAAGATAGAAATGAACAAAAAAAGAAAGAAATGTATAAAAGTTGGCCTTTTAAGGTTTTAAGAGTCTTTAAAGTTTTAATATATTTTTGTTTAATATTTAAAAAATATGCATATATAAACTATGATTATTGTATGATTATTCTTCTAATTGACTTTATATTTTAAATAGTTTCTCTTTTGTTTTTACAAAATTTTTCTTTTAATTGTAGGGCATTTTCTTGTGTGCTAAATTATCATTTAATATTTTTATTTGTTTTTTTGTAGCCCACCTCTCCACTTGAAATTCATTTAAATTTTATATTCTTTATTTTTTTTGTTAGTTTTTGAATTCTTGGCTTGGTTTTTAATTTTTTTTAGTATTTATTTATTTTTGTATTTATTTTAATTTTTATTTGTTTTTTTTTTTTGCTGCTGGTTTTGTTGTTGACTTTGTTGCTTCACTTTGTCTTTGCTTTGGTTTTGCTTCTTTTTTTATACCCTTGCAGAGGGTATTATAATTTTGTCCAAAAGTGTGCAACGCAGTGAAGGAGACATCTCCGACCCTATAAAGTATATATATTCTTTATCAGGATCACCTCCTGAGTTGATATGAGCATGTCCGTCTGTCCGTCTGTCCGTCTGTCCGTCTGTCCGTCTGTCCGTCTGTCCGTCTGTCTGTTTCTACGCGAACTAGTCTCTCAGTTTTAAAGCTATCGTCTTGAAACTTTGCACACACCCTTCTTTCCTTTGCACGCAGTATATAAGTCGGAACGGCCGGGATCGGCCGACTATATCCTATAGCTGCCATATAACTGATTGATCGGAAATGGTATAACTTTGGTGTTTTTAGAGTTAGCAAGTTCAAATTTGACATGAGAGCTATTTTTGGCAAAACATTACGACATGCCAAATTTCATAAGGATCGGCCGACTATATCTTATAGCTGCCATATAACTGAACGATCGGAAATGACCCAACTTTCGTGTTTTTGAAGATAGAAAGCTGGCACATGGTACACATTCTATTTTTGGTCAGTCAATCCGATCTACCAAATTTCATAACGATCGGTTGACTATATCTTATAGCTGACATATAACTGAACGATCGGAAATGGTATTTGGTAGAAATATCAACTTTCAAATTTTTGAAGATAAAAGCTTGGGACTTTTTTTTAGATTCTTTATTGTAATTAATTGGTTTTATTATGATGTAATCATAAGGATCGGCCAACTATATCCGATGTTTGCGATATATATCCGGTTATAGCTGCAAGGGTATATAAACTTCGGCCCCGCCCGAAGTTAGCTTTGCTTTCTTGTTTGATTTTTTTTTTGTATTCTGCTTTTTTTTTTTTTTTGAATAATTCGTTTGTGGTGTTCAAGGCAACAAAACGATGACTTCATCTCCACTGCCCACATTTGTCTTGTGGTGTTGGTGTCTCGGAATACCCTCTATGTCCGAGGGTCTGTGTCTTCTTGAAGAGAAAGTATTTCCGGCTCTAGAGGGTATCCATTAAAAATAAAGGTTAAATATTAAAACAAAAGATTATTTTTATGCCAGACATTCAAAAGAGACTCGAAAGAAACCTGTTTATTAAACAAAATATATGCAAATTATTTATTAGTTTTTTTAAGAAAATATATTATATTATATAAATCAGACGATATATAAACAAAATTGATAATAAATTAAAGAAAATATTTTTAGAAATGATTTGACTTATTATTTGGCACAAAATGTTGTTTTTACTCTTCTTATAATTTAAAATATATTCATTTAATTATTATTTCTTAAGTCTTAAATTGTTTATTTTTTTAATTATCATAAAGGAAGTCTTAGTCTTTGTTTTTGTTTTGTTTTTATGTGTGTCACTTGCCTCTTACTTTATTATCATCATCATTAACATTATCACGGTCATTATCATTATCCACACGCCTCAGACCATGTTGCAGCTAATATGAAAAGTGTTGAGTAATCATCATCATCATCATCATCATCATCATCGTAGTAAACATCACTTTTGCATCATCGTCACTGTCATCATTAAACTCATCGGTTGGCTGACTGCTTTCGATAGGTACACTGACAAAAAAAAAACAGAAAATGCAGGAAAAATTTAAGCTTACAAAAATAGAATATAAAAAATAGCCTTTAATAAAAATAATAAATTCAAATATTATTTACACTATTCATTAAATGGATTAACTAAGTAGTGAAAAATAATAGTAATATTTATCATTTATTCCATTTTAATTATAGAAATATCTTATAGGAAGTAGTTTATTCTTTATAAAGAAAATAACTAGTTTTTTAAATATGGTTATTTTCAGAATATTGTTATAGTTTATTATATATTTTGAATATTATTATATATGATTACTTCCCTCACCTATTGTAAGGTTTATTAAAGTTTATTGCGGAATAGTATTCCAAATTTTAGGGAAATTAAACATTTCAATAATAGATATTCGGAAATTTAATGAAATATTCAAAAAAAAACCTTAAATATGATTATTTTAAGTTTATTTTCAACTCTATGTTATTTACTAACCTAAGTTGAATTTCTCAACCAAAAAGAGAACACATTATTCCTAAGACGTTTTTATGATATATATAAGCAATAAAAATACCAACAATCAAAAAATATAAAATTTATAATATTATTTTAATTACAAAGTCCCATTTAAAATATTTTTCTTTTAAAATGTAAAGCGAGTACCATTTCTCTCAGTGCCTAGGCCTGTGCGAACTTTGCGACATCAAATTGATTATTTTGATGCCCTTCCGTGTCTTCTGCTCTTTCTCCCGTATCGCTCTTTCTCCTCTCACCACTCTCCCTTTCTTTCAACGCTATCGGAGCCACTGTCTTTGTTTTTATTGTTCTCGTCCAGGCCGGAAATGTTTCGCTTCGTTCTTCAGTCCAGTCGCGTCCCGGCCGAAGTCCGCAGTAGTTTCGCCTTCCCGACCCCCAAAACCAAACCAGACCAGACCAACCCCAACAATATAAAATATATATATGTATATATATATTTGGGTCAGCAAGCAAACAAAGTAAACAATACCGGTGGTATATAACTATTCTCTGGAGAGTTTTTGGCCAACTTTTGTTGGCCAGAATGCCCACAAAACAGGTTGTACGGTGTGTGTGGTGTACGGATACGGATATATGGGATCTCTAAACAAAAACTGCAATCAAAAAAATTTTTCTTAACTTGCGATGATTTATTTGGCGGATTTCTATAAAATTTATGCGAAATTTTCGGTGTGCGGTATGTGTTGATTATCTTTGAGATTCGGATTTTTAGAAACAATCGTTTTATTATGGATGCGATGAGTGAGCAGGGTCCTCAGATGATTTAATTGATGACTAATCGATATATCTTATGAGTAATCGAAGCAGTTTTATTTAATATCTTGGGCTTAACTTTTAAATAGTATTTAAAATTGTAATATTCTTGGGAATGATAGGTATGCTTTGGAGTATTATCATCTATAGCTCTATCTTAAGGGTCTTTAAGGTCTTTCTATAAGTCTGATTTTCTTTAAATAAGTCTCTTAGTTTTAAAATTATCAAGTTAAAAGTTTGTATATTTATATTTTTTGTATTAAACAAAGTATTTAAACTAAAATAGACTAAATTAGGGAACTATATTCTATATAATACAAGTTTGAACTAAAACTTAAATACTTCCCGAACCTAACTATGTATTTATTTTCCTTCTCTTACTTTCCTAACCATTTTAATGACTAATATTAAATGAATCAATTTTAATTTAATTTATTTTTAATTAAAGCTTTTTTTTTATCATTTCCTGGATATTTCCCTGGGAAGTAGAACACGTCGCTGGCAGCTGTTTATTTTTCGCTGCGGCCTGCGTTATATTGATTAACAATTTATAGACGACTTGCGAAAGTTAATTGGCGCGTTATATATGAAAGTTATAGTAACAATTGTTAACGATTTTTATTTTATTTTTCAGCAGCTGCCCAAACGATGCAACAATGTGACAGGCAGCAGCAGCAGCAGCGGCAACATCAACATCTGCTATTCAAGAGCCAGCAGCAGCAGCGATACCAACAAACAACAATTCTATACAATTTTTTGGCTTAAAAATTAAAAAAAATATTCCGAAGCAAATTTTTAATTTAAAAAAATCAGCCATAAAAATAACAGTTGGAAAACAAGTTAAAAAAAAACAATAATTTTAAAAAATATTTCTTTGCTTAGCAAATACATAAACCAAGCGGCTACGAAGCAGAGACCCTAACCACTGGGAACACAGTGAGTTAAACAAATAATTATACCCAATCTGCTAAATAATAATAATTAAATTAATTTATTAATTAAAGCGAGAAACAACAAAAAGGTGCAATAACAACAAAAAGAACAAAAATATACAAGCTTAGACACAAACCAAACTATTTTAAAGCGAATGCAATAACCCAACTGAACCCAGAGAGAAAGAAATTAATTTTATTAAAAAAATCAATAATAAAAAATTAAAAAAAAGAAAATTTGATTAAAAAAAATATAAAATTTTCGTTACTAACTTTGCTGCTTAGCTAAGGCACGAACCCAGCTATTACAACAACCACTGAACCCACTGGGCAACAAAAACGCTGGAACTTGAAGATCATTAGGATTTTATTTGGAGAGCGACAGACTGAAAGAGTGGCAGGATCAGGATCAGCAGCTGGATCTGGATCTGAATCTGGACTGGGATCAGGATCAGAATCAGGATCGGTATCGGTATCGGGAACCGAGGAGATGCCAAGCACTGCTGGTAGTGCCGCTGGAGTTGGAATGGGCGCCTTAATAAACAGTGCTGGTAGCAGTGCCGGCAGTGTGATGGGAATTGGCAGTCTGGGTGCCAGTTCGTCGGGTAATCCCGGACCCGGATCGGTTGGTCAGAGCGATGCCTCCGGCGCAGCTGGCACCCTGATAGCGCAGAGCACGGCGGGAACGAGTGCCGCCAGCAGCGGTACCATCACCTGGGACAACAACGGCACCCTGCGCTCCATCAATCCCGGCGACTGGTCCATCGAACAGTGCCTGGGCTGGCAGCAGCCGCATCAACTATATTTCCAACTGGGCTGGGCCTTTCTCTTCCTGGCCTTTCTGGCGCCACACGGCCCCTTCGGCTCGTTGTGGATGCGGGCCATGCTCCTGATCGGCTGCCTGATGATGGGAATGCACGGCTATCTGGTGGCCTGTACGCCGGACGTGGTGCTCTGGTCGGGCATGGGATTGTTTGTCAACTTCATCTACCTGGTGGTGGTGCTGTGCCGGCTAAGGCCCGTGAGATTCGAGCAGGAGATTGAGGCGGTAAGTGGTTTGGAATTTTGTATTAAGTCGCTTATTCCTTAGACTCGTTTTTTTGGTTAGAGAATATATTTTATTGAAAGAAAAGCTTAAAAGTAGGAAATTAAAATATTTGAAGTGAAAATGTATTAACAACTTCTTAAAATTGTAATATCTATGAAGAATGTTTATCATATAAACCAAGGACTATAGCATTTTAAAGAGATGGGAGATTTTTTAACGTATTTTTTTGTACAATAATAATTCCAACGCTCTTGTTGTTGAAAACAAAGCTTTAAAGTAGGCAACAAACTAATAAACAATGAGAGCTAGCTTACTTTTTCTACAAAATTTAACTTTTATTTAATAATTTCTCATAAAAACCTAAAGATTTGTTTTATTTTAACAAGATTTAAACTATTAAAAATACTAATATTTCAATAATAAAAACTTCAATGCTCTTTTCGTTGAAATAAAAGCTTAAAAGTAGGCAACAAATTTATAAAAGTAATAATAAACTACTAGTTCATTCTAAAAAATTTAACTTTTTAAAATTATTAAATTATTTCTCTTAAAAAAACAAAGAAATATTTTATTTTACAAAGATTTAAGCTTTAAAAAATATTTATAAGAAAAAAAAATTACTCCAATGGTTTTGTTGTTGAAAACAAAGCTTAAAAGTAGGAAACTATATAGTTTAAAGTGAAAATTAAAAAAAAACTTTCTTGAATTTTAAGCTTTAGATAATATACTGAACTCTTAAACCTAAACTTTTTGTTTTCAAAAGGTTTAAGTTTATTAAAATATATATTTCTTTACAAAAACTACACCAACGTCTTGTTGTTGAAGACAAATCCTAAAAGTAGGCCATAAAAAGTAGCAACAAGCTACAAATCTCTTATATTTACATTTCTCCCCGCCCCATTAAACCCTAGAAGGACCATTAAACCCAATACCCAGAAATAATCGAAATTTAATATTCAGGCCCATTGATTTTCTGACAAGAAAATTAACCATAATTTGGCAAATTTCCCAAGCAATTATCCATCCACCGACCGCCCGCCCGGCCTTGCCAAGAAAAACAGATGTTTCAATTGTAAACAATGACTTTGATTCTTGAATAATTTTATTGATTGAATTTGATTTTGTTTTTTTTTTTTTTTTTTTTGTTGTGTGTGTTTGGTTTTCACTTTTTTGGTTTTTTTTTGATTGCTTGTTTTTGTTTTAATTTAAATTAAATGATTTATTATATTTATTCACTAAAGCATCCGCACTTAAAACAGATAAATACATAGTTTCGATGGATTAATAAATAACAGAATAAGAATGATTTGCGCAAAAAAAAAAAATATTAAACAGTACAATTAATTATCAATAGAGGCTATTAATTAATAACTGTGTAAATTATTGGCTATCGACTATCGACTAAATGTGTTTGGGGTTTTGTGGGTTCTTCACGGGGGTGGGCTGGAGTGTGTGTGTGTGTTGGTGGGGAGACGGGCTGAGTTTATCACAGGATATCAGATTTTTTTTTTTTGAGTGTCGCTTTTTGTTTTTTTCTAGTTTTGGAGAAGGAGACTACTTGAGGATGGAAAATAAATCAATTATTCGATAAGCATAATAATAATTATTCCTTTTTTTTTTTTTGAGACAAAAATTATCGAATATTGAAATACAGTTGTTGGTGTGTGATGATGATGTGATCTTACGTGTCTATAAATAATATAATATTATATATACGTAAATTCATTATAAATCGGGGGATGGAGTGCCTTAGCTGAGGCGTATTTTCGATGCCAGAAAATACAGCTGCAGGCACGTGGTTAGCATAACCGTCATATTGCCAATGGCGATGGTCATGTGTATGCGCCGGAATCCCTTGTGAATGCGCTGATAGTGCGGACAATCAACCAGATCACCCTGCACCAGGCTCCCCACCTCCTGGCCACTTCCAATCGCATCCTCGATCCTGTATTTCTCGTGCATCAGTTGTAGCATGGGCGGTACTAGATATAGTCGCACCACCACCTCAATGCCCGCCGCCAGTGCAAGGGATCCCATTTGTATGCCCGCCGATGTTGTCCAACCGCTCAGGAAGTACTTGGCATAGACCACCAACATGGTCAGGCTGAGCATTGCATTGAAGGCGAAGTAGCGAGGGAACAGAATCTGCTGGCACTGCCCAAAGACATGGCGTGGCAGTGAGAAGTACAGCGAGAGTCCTAAAAGGATACAGAAATATTTGAAAAATTATTAAAATATTTTAAAGAAACGGTCACATCATTAGAGATGTTTTTTTGTTTATTGAAAATATAAAGAGATCTCTTATTTATCGATAACTCACCCGAGACAAATGTCATCCAGATCTGTGATCCAAAATGTGTGGCAAATGCCCCCAAATAGATCAAAGCAGCCAATACACCGCCCGTGGATGGTCTCGTTATGGATTTTGATGATGTGTCTACTACTACCGATGTTGCTGTTGTTGTCGTTGCTGGGTCGATAAGGTCGCGTCCCACAGTCATCATCACGAAGGCCAGTATGCAAACGGCTATCAAGTGTGCTGGTTGTGTTGTACGCGTCAGAATTCTACAAAAAAATTAAAAAATAAATAAAAGTCTCAATTAGTGATGATTGATAAACGATACAAGTGCATTGCGATCTTGTTTTAATCGATAGTCTTGAGATATTATAAAATTTTCTTGGAAAAATCAATCTGAATTGGCCTATATTTACCAAATACTTCAAGGTCTAGCCATCTCTTCTATACATAACACCCTACTACCACTTATTATTTGTATATATAATCATTTGGAAATGGATTTATAAGCGCAATTGCACTGCAATCGCATCACAATCGAATCGATTGTGTTTCGGGTTCGTGGATGGTCCAAACTCCAAACTTCGATTACATGCTTCGTTATAGTCGATGGTATATAGTCGGCCGATTTGATAGCTTCGTAGGCACGTGGTCGTCGCTTTTTTTTTTTTTTTGATTAGATTGGACGCCAATTCTACGCATTTCTACTCTCTTGTCTCTTCTCTTCCTCCAACTAGTTAGTCTATCAATTTTACATATCCGTCTGGTCGTTGTTTTATGAGTGGGTCCGTTTTATTTTTTTTTGCACTCTTTTTTAGACGCTTGCTATTTTTTTTTGCTTTGTTTTTGCGGCGAATAGAGGCGAAAAAGTGGCGTACGTGCGAAAACGCATGCAGCCGAATATTATATATTTTTTGTCCCCCCCTCCCATCTAAGCCCCCCCTTCTACGCCCATTGAGATCTCAGATGTGGAGACCAGAACTAAAGCCACAAATTGCCAATCTTTATGCACTTCATAATAGCGTGGATAATATTTATTTTTTTTTTAATGGGAATTTAGAAGAATCAGCTGTTTAACAGCTGATATTATAAAATCAGACAGAGATAGGGAGATTAGAACTGCTGATTCAATTTATATTGTTTCAATAATTTATCTAAGAAAAATCCTAAATTATTAACCTCCATTGTAAGGCTAAGAATTTATTATCCAAATGACGTACAAAAATCGCACCTGATCGCACTTTGCACTCTCTCGGAACGTGCCAAAAGGTAGAGAGAGCGTGAGATCCCCTCGATTGGGAACTCTATTGACTTTCGCGACTTTCGCGTCATCAGATAACACAAACTACCGATTCGAAACGAATCCCCGAACTTATCGGATCTTGACATTGAGTCAGCATACCGGTCAAGGCAAAAATAAAATATATATTAAGAACTTTCATAATTAGTAATACCTTTCAGGTGGTTGCCCAAAATCCTATCCTATTATGAATCACTCAAAGCATTAGGTTAGGTTAAGGTTTAGGGTTTATTACATAAATTGCACCACTGTATGTATGTATATCGCTTTTATATATCGTGACGATCACGAGTTTGGGTCGTCTGCTGCCATTTATTATCGCTAATGTGCGAAAAATCATATGATTTGATATAAAGCTGATATGATAAAGCTGTTCTAGTTAATGAATTTCGCCATAAATTAATTTAAGAACTTGTGATTCTTTTGGGAAGTGACTCTAATGATCTTGTCTTGGTTTCCATCATCGGCTTGTATAACCAACCCCAGACATATGTGCACCAAATGCTATATATGTGCATTTATAAATATCAAAACAGTCGTGATTAACATGATCCAGTGCCGTGACTGATAACCACTCTCTCTCTGATTGATAATGGAAGCCTCTTAATGCATCTGTGAGCTTTACTTAATGTCACATTGTGAAATAATATACATATTTTTTTTTATTTTATTGGGGGGTGTGTTTTTTGAAATTTTTCCAAAGCTTATCAATTGGAAATTCTCCGTTGTGGCCCAAAAATACTTTAACTATTAGCTGGTAATTAAAATATTTCAACAGGAATTGCATTTCCGGCACATGTAATTGCTTTAAAAAACAAAAACAATAATAATAACCGGGGAACACAAATATTTTTAAAATAACAACCTTTCGCTTTTTAAACAAAAAAAATAAATAGATTTTTGTATTTTAATATTTAGTGTTTAAAATGTCATGAAAATATTAAAATTGTAGAAAGGTAATTGTATTAGAAAATGCCTAGTTTGAAGAAATTTGTGATGGAACCCGAATACTTAAAGACCCTTTGCTTTTAAATAGATATTATTTAGGATATTATTTCATATATATTATTAATCCTTTGAAATATATTTTTCTTTCTAAATATTAAATCTAATATTATTTTTTTTTTAGAAACTTACGTATAGAGACGGCTGGCCTGCAGCTGTGCCACCAGATAGGTGATCCTTTCGGACACCTGTCGTGTCATTTGTGTTCCAATGGCCAGGGCATCGTCCATAGACGGTTCCATGGAGCTGAGCTTTCGTTGTTGCTGCGCTTTCAAATCGGCTGCCGATAGAACCGTAACATCGTTCTCTGTTTCTAGTTGCTGTTGTTGTTGTTGCAACTGTTGTTGTTCCTTGATCATTTCTTGTTGCTCCTGTTGTTGCATTTTACGAAAATGTGGACAAAATTTCAAAAGTTCAATATTTCCAGAGTGTACTGTAGTATTGGGAAAAGCAGCTGCCAGGCTACTCTTTCTACGCTCCAATGGCATAACGGTGGTTTTCACCTCCATGGAGGTATCTCCACCATGGGCAGCAGCTTTGGCGGCAGCAACATCAGTACCGCTGTCGGCTTCACTATCGCTGCCAATGTCGGTGGTGTTGGCGCTGCTGCTGTTGCTGCTGCTGTTGCTGCTGCTGCTGCTCGTTAGCTCCAATTGCTCTAGAAGGTGTTGCTCCTGTTTTTGGAGAGCTTCTTCCTTTTGTTTTTGCTTCTTCTCGCGCTTTCGGAGAGTGTATTTGACACTTCTCACCGCTTTTGATGGCATCCCGTAGGCCATGTACCGTTCGATCTGCTGCTCGTTGCTTTTCTCCATAATTCCCGAATTGTGGCACATTTTTGCATTTGTTGTGCTTTTTGCAAATTTAACGGTGTTATATTTTTTCTTATTTGCACTTTTTTTTTTTTATAGAAAATTTGTAATTTTCTTTGTCTTGCTGGCACAGCAAAAAAAAAAAATGTTTTGAGGGATCTTTGATATAGTTTTTGAACAGAGCGCGTTTTGTGGATTTTTGGGTTAGTTTTTGTTTATTTTTGTTTTTGGTTAATTTAACGGGAAAGGGTTATTGTTTTAATTTAATTTTGATTTTGGTTTATTTTTGAGGTTTTGAAAAAAAAGGGGGGGAAAACGACTACGTCGAGGTCCACGCGACGCGCTAAGGTGTGCGATTTTGAATGGGCCGTCGGCATGGGGTTTACGTTTTTATATACCGCCAGCCCCCAGCAGCAGCAGCAGAGCTCTGTCGCCGCCAAGTTCTTGCGACGTCGCCGCGCCACCTCCACCGCTGCGCTCTGCTTCCGCCGACACTCACTCTCTCTCGCACGGCCTCCTCTCTTTTTTTCAGCTCAGATCAGCTGTCTTTGGGGGCTGACGAAACAGTGGGCTAATTTGTGTTAACTGCAAATTAATCTAGTTCATCATGATCGGTTAAAAAAAAATATATATAAACCTGACAATGATAATAGGAGTTTAAGTTCATAATCGTTATCGTTTTCGTAAAGTCGTTACAAAACTAAGTTTATAAAAAATTGAACATGCCAGTTGTCAGTAATACAATTTTAAGAGGAAATAGTTATTATTTTTGGGGGAAAGTTCGATTGACAAGGTTCATAGGTTTCCTAAGAAAAGGGGATAAATTATTAAAATTAGTCACTCTGTTATTCCCAGAGTACTAATTACTACTTAAATTAACATTTTAATAAGTTTAAAGTTTCAAAAACATTTTAAAATTTCCAACTATTAAATCTTAATTATTTATTTTAAAGCCTACGTCATGCATATTCTGCCCACTGTATCCCAGCTTAAACTAGATTATGCAAGGAGATCAAGGGAACTGCAAGAGAGAGAGTAACTGCAATTTCTGGGAGGCTGGGCTCCCATATACATAGTATGTCCTCTCTTAAAGCACCATCTCGGAAGAGAGAGCTTATTGTAGGGAGAATCTCAATTAGCAGACTGTCACGCTGCGATCGTTTGACATTCTGCCGCCTTATAAGCACCTGACAAATGGGCGCCACATGTGAATAGTTTTTAGCTTTTCGGTCTAACCTTCAGTATAGTTCTCTCTCTTTCCTTGTACCACACCCACTGTCCTTTTTGTTCTTTTCTTTGCTTTTTTGGGGAGTTCTTATAAAGTGGGATCCACCGCTACCGATTCATATATTTACTTTCAAAAAAAATTGTATGACTTGTCAGTTGGAATTCGGGGAATGGATTTTGATCACTGACGTCGATGGTTACTTACCCCAGGTATTTTTTGTTTTCTTCCGTAGAATCTCCAGGTTATTGGATATGTGTTTGGGAAATATCTATTACCAATTTTAAAGGGGAAATCTTCAAACAGATTCCATGAAATATTTGTTGTTTATTTTTGAAAGAAAAATAAACTAAAAAGCTTGATGGGGGTCTATTGGCAATATTACTCTATCAATTTGAAATCGGGCCTTGAGTGGGTGATAATTGATAAGAAATTAGCAAATTAAAAAGCTTAATGAATCACCTAATGATTCACAAGGATTTCTAAGCCAAAGCCCCCCCGTCTAAAGTTCAGACTACTGAACTGACCACCCACATAATGCGCAAAAATTCACAAATAGAATAAACAAACTGATTATTTGATTAAAGGTCAGTCTGTGAAACGAAATTGATTAAACTGTCCCGGGGTCTAATCATGGCCAATCAGTGGACATTATCCCCTGGGTTAATCCACCACCCCCGGCCTCTTGCCTTTCGAAATATATCCTATTCCACCTGATTCTTGAGAGCCACGATGATTGGACAAAAAAAAATGACGATAACCTGGCCAACACAGACAAGAAAGAAAAAAATGAGCTAGTCTGTTGACCAAATACGTAATTAATGCCAACATTTGTATTCAGAAAAAGGAATCGCCAACGTCTCGATCGGAGAGATCTACGTCCGGCCGAAAAAAAAACAAGAAGAATATTTCAAAAATGAAACAGAACGATATTGGCAGCCAACCGCAATTAGATAATGAGCATGAGGAATACGTTGTATCCACAAATATCGAATATATCAAATATAGAAAGCACTCTCCATCTACATCTTATCGGTCCAAAGATCCTCATCGATCATTATTTTCCTCACGTCCCATCACGTCCAAAAAAAAAAAAAGAAACAAATATTTATATTATTAATGAATGAAATCGGAAAAATCATCAATATAGTCATCAATTGTAATAGTTTGTTCTGTAAGGATCAAAGGTCAATAATTGTTGTAGAATTTTATCTATTTATAATTGATTACTGAAGATTGATCATCTTTTAAGGGGGTTTTTATCAAAAAGTCTAATTTGGGGGACAATTTATCAAAAACAAGCAAAAATGTATATTATTGGACGATAAATGTATTAAAATTATGTGGTTTAAAATATTGATACAGAACTTAAGACTAATTCTCTTTAAAATGAGTATCAAGTAGTATGTATTATTTTTAAAGGGATTTGAACTTTAAGTATCCAATTTAAAAGCTTATTATTTATTATAATTTATTTGATATAGTATTTAATGTGATATAAAATATTTATATTGGCCTTTGGCTATAAGGGCATTATAATCATTATATTAAAGAACGACAAGGCACCATACTCGTATATTTACTTGATCTATTTATACCTTAAATCTACCTTTAAAAAATGATCAAAATTTTAACATTAAAACCCCAACTTTTGCATCATCTTTAAGTATTTTGTTTTTAGGTTTTTTTTTTGTTTTTCTGGCAAAAAATAATACAAGTATAAAGCTTCAAGGCACAGGGCCTTTTGTTGTTATCATCTGGTTATTTGATTAGTTTTTATACCCTTGCAGAGGGTATTATAATTTTGGTCAAAAGTGTGCAACGCAGTGAAGGAGACATCTCCGACCCTATAAAGTATATATATTCTTGATCAGGATCACCTCCTGAGTTGATATGAGCATGTCCGTCTGTCCGTCTGTCCGTCTGTCCGTCTGTCCGTCTGTCCGTCTGTCTGTCCGTCTGTCTGTTTCTACGCGAACTAGTCTCTCAGTTTTAAAGCTATCGTCTTGAAACTTTGCACACACCCTTCTTTCCTTTGCACGCAGTATATAAGTCGGAACGGCCCGGATCGGCCGACTATATCCTATAGCTGCCATATAACTGATTGATCGGAAATGGTATAACTTTGGTGTTTTTAGAGTTAGAGAGTTCAAATTTGACATGTGAGCTATTTTTGGCAAAACATTACGTCATGCCAAATTTCATAAGGATCGGCCGACTATATCCTATAGCTGCCATATAACTGAACGATCGGAAATGACCCAACTTTCGTGTTTTTGAAGATAGAAAGCTGGAACTTAGTACAGATTTAATTCTTGGTCAGTTGATCCAACCTACCAAATTTCATTAGGATCGGCCGACTATATCCCATAGCTGCCATATAACTGAACGATCGGAAATGGTATTTGGTAGAAATATCAACTTTCGTATTTTTGAAGATAGAAGTTTGGGACTTTTTTAGATTTTGTATTGTAATAAATTGGATTATATATTCCTATTCCCATAAGGATCGGCCAACTATATCCGATGTTTGCGATATATATCCGGTTTTAACTGCAAGGGTATATAAACTTCGGCTCCGCCCGAAGTTAGCTTTCCTTTCTTGTTTATTTGTTGTTTTGTTATAGTTTCTGTTTTTGTCGTTTTTAGTTTCATGTTTTTTTTTTGTTTTTAATATGCATTTTTGTTTTTGGCTTGTGTGGAACTTTGGTCGGGATGGTACGTGGGCCAAGTCTGGTTTGTTATATTTTTGCTGTTCAGGTGGCGTTGTGGCAAATTCCGTTTCATTGCCTCAAATGGCGGACGTGCCGGCCGGCTTTCACAACGTTCGGGCCACACGTCTGTATTAGGGCCAAGACAACGGTGAGGTAAAAAGGGGGGTCTGATGGTAGTACCATCTATAATATTTTTGTCTTAGTCTCCCCCACCTGACGCACCAAAGTGACATCTGACGAAAGACGTACCATTCTGCGTCAGCATCATTGTTTCATTCGATGGGCATTGATCCAACACAGTTGAGGAAAATATATAGACAGCTTGTACATTATATATATTCTATATAAATATGTAATCCATATAGCACTTTCCATATCTCTCAATCCCTCGTTTTTCACGCGCCCTCACTCGATCATTGTCCAAAACATAATCCCTTCGAGCCAAAAAAACAAAAATATTATTCATGAAAGCTAGAAAATAGTCGGCCAGTCATATGAGGTGATAGAATTTGGAAATTTTGTTGGTACTAGGTGGGCTTTCTTTCTTCATTTTTTTCTAACCACGAACCCAAAGAAAGCTATCATATGATTATTTTTCTTTTTTTTTTTTTGGCTGAAAAATTTGATTTATTCTTTATAATTTTTTGAAAATATTTTGGTTTATTCTTCATATTTAGAAACAGGACTTAACAAAATTATTTCCTTTCTCCTTAAAAGGAACTATTATTTTTCCCCCAAAAAAAAGTTATATTTAAAGTCGAGGCTTATCAAAAAAAAAGTTTTAGAAAAATTCTCAAGAAAAACCCGTCATAAAATTATACAAAAAAGATTTAAAATATTTACATATTTATGTAGATTAAAATTAATATGGTTAGTTTTTATACCCTTGCAGAGGGTATTATAATTTTGTCCAAAAGTGTGCAACGCAGTGAAGGAGACATCTCCGACCCTATAAAGTATATATGTTCTTGATCAGGATCACCTCCTGAGTTGATATGAGCATGTCCGTCTGTCCGTCTGTCCGTCTGTCCGTCTGTCCGTCTGTCCGTCTGTCTGTCTGTTTCTACGCGAACTAGTCTCTCAGTTTTAAAGCTATCGACTTGAAACTTTGCACACACCCTTCTTTCCTTTGCACGCAGTATATAAGTCG